GAAATGACCTTCTAAGTAATAAATGGAAATATTTAAATAAATGGAATTCTGATGGTGCAACATCGGACAAGTATAGTGGGTTAGGCAGTACCTCCCACCCCAATTCATTAATTTTTTTCAGGGTTCGTCTTCCGCAATGCAATCTTGCATTTTCGTGTTGCATAATAAAGCCTTTCCTGTTGACAATCTCTGGTAACATTTAAATTAGAGTTTGATTGTCACGATCTAAAGGTATGCTTTCACAGTTTGTTCAGGTTTAAACACTTCAAAATGAAAAACGCCACAAATACTCGACCAAACACACAAAAGTGCCTTTTTGGGGTGTAAATCTGGTCTAGCAGTGCTTCCTGATGATTCTTTTGGAGAGAGCCACTGCTTTTGCATTTTGGATTATCATAGAGGACCCATTTTTCATATCCGGTGATCAAGCGATCAAAAAACGGTTCTGTATTGTGCCGTTGAAGCAATAAGTTGCATGTGGTGGTTTCCCGATCTGATGCAAATGTTCTTGGGTTGTCGACCAAGGTTGATTAAGACTGTTTAACAATTCCTCAATTGTCTAAAATCGATTTGCTTTGACTTCTGCCCTTGACACGTCATTGTCTAACATTTTGGTCTAACATATGAGTATGAAAGATCAACTAATGAACAGCTGTGTAAGATTTGTAATTGGTGCCCCGAAATAATGTCTCTCACTACTAGACTGCGTTAAAGTGTAAAAGCTCTTCCCTCTCCATTCGAAGACTATACTTCCTAGGTACGTTCCTCTATCAAATCATCAACAATCATCGTCATTACGCCTACCACCTTCTCCAATTGAAGACCTCGGACCATTTCCTTTCCCTAAGATCTCGACCTTCCGACCTTTACATCTCTTCTCACAGATCTGCCTTATTCCAAAACTCCTTTATTGCTCACTCTGTTAATTTATGGAATTCCCTTCCTATCAAAGTTCCGCATTCCCTCTCCCTATCTACATTTAAAACCCTAAAAAGTTTTTATTTAGGCCAGATATAATATTTTAATTTTGTGCTTTTTCGTTATTCTAAAGGGCTTTGTCCCAGAATAAAATTATTTTGTATTCTATCAAGATTATCTGATTTAAACTTGAAAAACCATCTTTGGCGTTTACGAACATCTAATGCATTTAGATAAACATCACAAATGCTCTTACTAGCAATTGTTGTGTTACTATCCTTCTGAAACGCGAAATCATGCAATGCGGCTAAGTACCTCTTCTGGTATTTGACTCCCCAATTTACAAAAAACTAAAAAAAAAAAAAAATTAAATATAATTATTTACAGCTAAACAAGTCACTACTACCTTAGAATGTCTTTGCCACAACTTACATGCACATAATATAAGTTGACAAATGTCAATCAAATAGTGGCATGAGTAGAAACAGCATTACTTTTTAGTCCCCCTTATACATTATAAATAAATACCTGTTAAGAACATAAATAATATAAAAAATCCTAATAAATTACATCCCTTCACCTTAAGGCCGTGGTTACACTGGACACGTAAAATGTACGACACGACGGAAAAGGGGCTCTGCACTGTATGTTCAAAAAACATGCACTTACCATGGCAACGTCACGTCTCGGATTTCTAATTCATTCATTATTTCTAACCTTATCCAATATATGTACTAAATAATAGTTAAATTTTATCAAAATTATTTTTTCATGTTTTCCAATTAATCAATATTTATTTCAATATTATTTATTCGATAGATAAATCCAAAACTAATTCAAATTCAGTATAAAAATTACAGAAAAATACAAATAAATTTCATTAATGAAAATGAAAATATCCAACGACTTTTAATAGAATAAATAGTAATTAAATAGAATTGAACATTAAAAATATTCTACTTTTGTTTTAATAATTCAAAGAAAAAATAAAACTTATACTTTATATATTATTAGGGTCATGGTTATTACTATAATTTTAGTATATCATCTACAATTAAAGGCCTTATATATGTATCTAGTAACGTATGCTAATGCCAATCACCTTCGAATTCTATTGCTGGCTGCACTATATAATATAGTTTATTATCAAAGTCAGATTTATGGTTGTTTTTAACACTACTTCTAGTGTTATAAACGGCTGTGTATAATTTTAGCATTATGTATAAGTTATTTCAGTCTATTTGTTTATATTCTGTTCTATTTTTCGATATATAATATTTTTGCAAGCAATGGATACATTTCACTTTATGTAGATAGGTAGGATATGGGTTTTACTGCAATTAATTTACTTTACGTATAACATCTTTTTTATATTGTTTTCTAATCGTAATTTTAATATTAGTTATATGGTTATGTATTTTATTTTTATAAATTTTATAAAATTAATATAAATATATACTTTTTAAAAGTTTCCATTTAAATTGGGTATATATTTTAATTCATGATATTTCATCAGCATTCCATGAAGTTTAACTGTATTATCATTGTCCTTATATCTGTTTTCATTATTATTTTAAACTGATCTGTACTTCTGCTTTTTTATGTATTATCTTCGTTATTTTTGTTTTATCATCATGAAATTTTGACATTATTTAATTTTGTTTATTATTTACTTCAGATTTTTTATCATTATCATTTATAAATTTATATGAAATGTTATTCATTAGTAGATTAGTTGCCGTGCATCAAAATACCCTAAAGATATTTTATTCAATCCCATTTCAAAATTGATGATTTAAGCTTTATTTGTCAAATTTATTTATTTTAATATTGTTTTGCGAGGTTGATAATTTGATGTTTTGAATAGATTGACTGACCACTATTATTGAATCACTGATAGCTGACATTGTTGATGGGTGGAGGGAGTAGGGATAGTAACGGAAATTATCTAAAGAAAAACAAAACAAAAACCATTACAAAGAAAAATAACAATATCAAAATATTGCAATATCTAACAACTAATTAATTATAAATATATGGATTGTCAAAAACTATTATTTGCTAATATCCACAAATTAATAACATGAAAACGGTGTAACATTAGATGTGAAAGAAGTTACATCAGGGATACTTAAAAGATATAAGATTTTATATTTTTATTTATTTTTTTATTAGAAAATCCAAAATGCCTAACTAGGCCGAAATGTAAAAAAATAAATATTTTTTCTTAATTAATATTAAAAAGGAGTTTTAAATGTAAAATTTGTTCGTTGGAGTGTTTGTGAGATTTCGAAACTGTAATCTGTCATTGATTAAATATTACAAATTAAATAATCAACAATCGGATAAATAATTGTTTATCATATAAACTTTTTTTTTATAATTTCTTAATTCTATCTTTCTTGTTAGTTATATCTTTAATTTTATTAATATTGCTTTAAAGTTCAAAATTAATAGTATTATTTATGTTAAATTTTTTTAATGACTTCAGTCTCTTTTGATATAAAATATATTTTGACTTGCAATATTTATTCCTATACCTTTACTGCATTATCCTTTATTTATTGGTTTTCAACGATTAAGTTCGTTAATTACTATATCAAATATCTTGTATTTAATTTGCTGTGTTAATTTTATTTTATTTTTCATAAAATTAGTACTGATATTTATGGACCGTCGTGTTGAAAAATCGGTTTGGAAACAAACCGGTTTGAAATTCACACGACGTCGTGTTGGGCGGGTTTGCCTATCCACGCCCCTTCTATCGAACTATTCGTTTAATATATTTCATTAAAATAATTTTAATATAAATTTCAAAATAATGCAATTAATAGATTTTTTTTTACAGAATGATATTGGATAATTTCTTTATTTATAGACAAGAATAGAAAAAATGAAAACTAAATTAGTGAATTAATATGTTAATTCATTTGGTAACCTTTTTTTTAATTTAAAAATTGATTCAATAGCCATGCATTAAAATTAACAATTTGATGATATATTTACAATATTATGTATGAATTAAAATGTATGACAATAATTGCTGAAATAAATTTCAAAAGAAATAAACGACAACCTAAAGATATTGAAACCATAGTTAAATTAAACGGAAAAAAAAGCCTTTCGTTAACAAGAGGTGTGGATTTAATTAATCCTTCCAAAATTATTTACTATATTTAATTAAATAGTATCAATATGAATTCTACAAAAATGCAATTAATGAATAGAAAAAAAAAACGAATATTTTTCAGGAGGTTTTGAATAATGTTTTTTATGACTGATAGGAAGTGAAGAAACACGATGTGAATTAATCTTTTTAACTAATCTGGTGTTATTTCGACATTTTTAAACAACATTTAATTATTACGGATTAAAATATAGAATATATATTGTATCAAAAATAAGATCATTTTTGTAAAAATGATATTTTTAATTTGTTAAATATGAATTACATATAACTTAAAGAAATAAGCAGAATCCAAATAATATTTAATTATATTATAGAATAAAGGTAACGATGATATATATGAGCTAGATAAAAAAAATATATTTCATCTTTATTTTTTAAAATTTAAAATATATAATAAATAAAATTAACAATGTTTGATGATATTTTTAATTTTCATATTTTGCGTACTATTGACGATAAAAAGTCACAACAATAAAATGAAAATAGCTATTATTGTAATTTTCGACTGTATTTTGAATTACTTTAAGATTATTTATGGAATAAATAATGCCGTAAATAATACTTATTAATTATTAAACAACCTGAAAGGAATTAACTATTATTTTTTATGTACATTGGATGAATATAATACAATTAAATGGATGATAAACATTAAAACATGAATGAAAGTCATATGTTTTTGAGTTGAACAGTAGAGCCGTCGTATCGTGTCGTGACGGATCCAGTGTAACCACGGCCTAAGCATGAATATAATGCATCTCTTATTTTATTTATTTTTTCAAAGTCAATCAATAATTAAATACATCATGATATGATTACAAAATGTTATTGCTTTTTAAAATGTAACTGCTGTTGTTAAAATATTTTTTTTATTTTGTAAAGATAATATCTCATTAATGTTTTAATTTAGCCACTGGGACCTACGGTCCGAATGTTGAAATGGCGTCTAAAGAATGAGCATCGACGAGAATTGAGATACTTCCATGAAATCATTGAACTTACCAGAAATGTAAGTAAGGTATATCTTGAGATTATGTAGAAATAAATATTTTTATTATTATTATATTATTTTATTACTTCTCTACGCCCTTGGATACGGGTGAAGTTTTAAATTTGACCCGTAGTCATCCTCCTTGGAATCTGACAGGAAAACTCTTGGAAACTTCTAATATAGAGTTTGTATTAGATACGAGTGCTAGTAATGGGTAGTTTCTCTAAATGTCCACTCATGTCATTCCTCATCATCATCATCATCCATGGCGCTACAACTCCTCAAGGCCTCCCGCAGTTAGGTCTGGCAGTCTTCTCTATTGGTTGCCGAGGTCTTCCCACTCATCTTGTTCCATGAATCCTTTCATCTAGGACCATCCTAGCAATCTGATCTTGGGTCATTATAATTAAATGACCTGCCTATCAAAGCCGGCCTACTTTAATCACCTTTACGATATCTGAGCTCTTGTAGGTTCTTTTTAGCTGAGCATTCGTTCTTATCCTCCAGATTCCATAGATGCAAACTGGACCATAAATTCTCCTCAATATTTTCCTCTCCAACCTTAGGAGGAGGGCTTCCTGTGTATTAGATGATGTCCAGCATTCGGAGGCATAAGTGAGAACTGGTCTTACCAGGGATCTTGTACAGTTGCACCTTCTTTTTTTTTTTTTAGAGATATCCCTGCTCTTGAAATGATTCAGTAAATCATGTCATTATGTAATAAAAAATAAGTCTTATATGCAAGGTAGTGGAGAAAAAATAAAAAATAATGAATAAATACTAAGACCATTCTTCTGAAGATTTTTCAGTTTTGCATAATTGTGTATTAATATCGTAAATAATAATTTATTAGTTTGCCTGAAAGTATTGAGTATTATGAACTTTTTTGATAACATTATTTAAAAAAAAAACAATTTAAATTATTTTTATTTATTTCTAGATAGCTAATTCTTTTGAAAATGATGATAGATACAGACAAATAGCTCATAATTTACACCATGAGAAACAGCTCCGCAGGATCATCGATCATCATATCAGGGTAAAATTTGTATTTGAATATTTATGATTTAAATATTTTTAAAAGGACTTTTGTTTATCATTGTAGTATTTTTATCATATTAATATAGAAATATTTATGTTTTCATATTGCCTTATAAAATTAAATGGTAATAAATATCAGAGCTTATTTCTCTATTATATAAAAAAGTTTTTCGTGACCATTGTTTAATATTTTATTTCACATAAAAAAAGTGGGACAGACTATAACGAAGACATCACACTTCTTATTCCTAGAATTATTTCTCCCTTATTATGGTTAAAAATTGGCAATAAGACGCGATGATATAATATAGGATTTTAAAGAAATTAAAAAATTTTCCGAACTCTGGTTTTGTTCCGTTTATTTTATATTAATAAAAAAAAAATACAGTTATACAATTTGAGAAATTTTGGTGAAAAATTTATTATAACATTCCAGGCAAACACTTTAAATACATGATTTCAGTTCTATACAACTTTTTGGTTTTGAGCTAGACTTGTTCACACACATCCAGACCACTTTGCTTGATTTTTGGACTAAGCTACCTCAAAAGTTGTATTTTTGTTGAAAACTCGCGACTCTAAAATTCCAAATACTTTCCCTTACTGTATATTTCATATATACTAACAATGAGAGAAAGTTAATTATTTAAAATAAACCAAATCGAAGGTACTTTAGAGGAAGAAATTTCGAACATTGGGCATTTCAGCCATGTATGGCAACATCAATGAGAATAAGATCTTGATTTTATAAAAAAGATCATTTAATTATACATTGGTATACCAAGTTTAATCAAAATTGTTAGAGCAGTTTTTGAGAAAATAGTAAAAACATGTCAAATCGAAGATATAAAGAGCCACTTCTAGTTAGCGGATTTCAAGGAAAATGTTACTATAATATCCCAGAAGTATACTTACCTTCTTTGGTATATTTGGACTTGGAAGACTTCAAAACGGGTGTATTTCAGTTGAAAACTCAGATTCGAAATTTTTCATTATTACAATACTTTCCCTTACTATGTATTAAATAATGAAAGTAAAAAACATTTGGTGCATTTCTTAATAACACTATCCATATTCATCTTAATAACACACTAATGATATTTTTATTTTGTAGCGTATCAATAGGAGTGATAATTCTGCTGATATTTCTACTACTATGTTAGAAGTACGTGAGAGAAAGCACTTTTTTGATGAGCAGTACAATTTTATTAATGTTGCGGTAAGTTTTACCTACTTATTTTATTTCTTTTGAATTTTCTTAGAAGTCTTGTCAATCTATTAGATTTGATTTTTGGCAAATTTGTGTTTTTTAATGAATTAATTTTAATATTTAAAAACCAATCACATTAAAACGTTAATATAAAGTAAATAATATTAACTGAATGTTCTTAAAAAATTGGCATGAATCCGCCAACATTAATGTTTTAATGTAATTGGCTTTTAAATAGAGAGAACTACAATAAAATTTCTCGCCTGCTCAACTATGTTGATTTGCTAAATCACATAGCATACTATGATCAGTCCAACAGATATTATTAAAAAAACCAAAACAGAAGAGAATTAAGAGGGGCTATTGTGATATATATCAAATGTTAAAAATCTAATGCGATATGCACATCATAAAACTTTCACTTACCACCCTTAGAGTTTATATGTATTTTCATATATCGGGAAGTAAAAGTGGAAATAATGGCATGACTACATTTAAAACAATTAATTACCATGTTTTCACCTTCCATCAAATTTGTTAAATTTATACGCTTGGTTCGCTTTTCATTTTGTTTTATGACTGTGTCTAGTATCAGAAACATTCTGAGTTTTATTGGAAACATTTATCACAAAACTCGTAGAAAAATCTGGTATGGTGAGCGCATCACACAACTTTCAGTTACCACTCTGTTAGCAGAAATAAGTATTTTCAGACAAGGGGGAAGTGAAAGTAAAAATTATAGATGGTATATTTATTTATATTTTATTGTGGGTATTTTTATTTATGTACCCTTATATATACAAATTTTAATATTTATATCGCTAATTAGTTAAATAATTTTACATTGCTATGATGCATTTAATCAAAATTGTTAGAGCCATTTTCAAGAAAATCGTAAAAATGTGTTTAGTCTATTATATTAAGTGCCACTCCGGGTTAGCCTATTTTGACAAAAAAGTTTGTAACATCTCTAGCATATAAAAACCTTAAATATGGAATTTCACTTTCCTACGACTTTATGTTTTTGAGCTAAACTGTTTACACACAGACAGATTTTGCGAGAGTTTGTTATTTGGACTCAAGGGACCTCAAAACATGTATTTCCGTTGAAAACTGAGATTTGAAAATTTTCATGATCGCAATACTTTTCTTTACTATATATTTCATATATAGGTAAGTGAAAATAAAAAAAAATAAAAAAACTGGTCAACACATAACTTTCACTTACCGCTCAACTTTGAAGGTTATAAACGTATCTATGGAATATTTTTCTATTTCTCATCTTCTTTCACACAAATACAATGAAATAGTAGTGGATACTGTTGAAACATCATGAAGGTAAGATACATCAAATTATTCATTAATCTAATTTTCTAAAACATTACATGACAATATTTCGGAATAAAAGGACGTTGATACCTAATTATTTAAATATAATATCAGATCTAGAATTATTAAACTATAGTAAATGTATTTAAGGTTATAAACATATGCTTTATACATCCATGAAATGATTTGATATTTCACTTCTTCTTTCTCACAAATACGATCTAATAGTTTTTTCAACAATGGCATTGCCTTGATTAGGTGGATTTTAAATACTTTTTCAAACTTAAAAATATTTTAAAAGTTTACATTTAGTTAGTAAATTTCATTTAATTTCCTTGAAAACATGTGATTTACTTTAAATATTATTAGTTTACAAAAATTATTATTTATAATTTTTTGCCACTCTCTGTTACCTTCTACAACTTTCTATATTAGATATTGTTTTTTCTATAATTCTCCACTTTCCAATGACATATTATATGTATACCTTCTTACTAGTATTTCCGGAGATTCATTTTCGACCTGGATAAGCATTTTAATTTTTTCACCTTTATTCAATTTTCAAATTCTTTCAAAAGTTATATTTAGCATTTTTTCGTAACACTTAATAATGAGAGATAGTTAATTATTTAAAATAAATCATATTAAAGGTACTTTAGAAGAAGACACTTATGAACATTGGCATTTAAGCCCTGTAAAGTGACATCGACGGGAATAAGACCTAAATGATATTAAAGACCACTTAATTATACAATGATACACAGAGTTTAATCAAAATTGCTTAAGCCGTTTTTGAGAAATTTGAAAACAAAATGTGTTTCACTGTTGGTATAATGTGGCACTTCCGGTTAGCTGATTTTAAGGAAACAGTTGCTATCACATAAGACATATACCTATTTTAAATGCGTAATATCAGTTTCGTATGACTTTTCATTTTTTTGAGCTAGACTGCTAACATACATACACACAGACCATTTTTTGGGACTTGGTTATTTGGGTATCCCAAAACGTTTATTTTCGTTGAAAACTCAGATTCGAAAATTTTCACAATCAAAATACTTACCCTTACTATATATCACATATATACGTAAGTGAAAGTAATAACAACATGAGTAAATATTGCATGTTATTAGGTTCATATTAGTAGATCCTCAAGATTTCGCGTGGAAACTATTTAAAAAAATTATACATAAAAGTTAAATTAACAATATGAAAGGTCTGTACAGAGAGGTATCAGGTATCTGTAAACAAAGAGGATTGGCAAAGGTCCGCCGCTCTGGGCCCTATCCATATTTGAAATGGTTGAATATTTAAAATAAAAAAATTAAAGGTGCTTTAGAGAAAGTGCTGAAGGAAATAAGGAATTTAGGCATTTAAATAAAGGAAATTAGGCATTTTAACAATTTTAGAGAAAATCAAAAAGAATGAAACTTTATATCATCAAAAATAACCTCTTAATTTTACACAGATACAATGTATTTAATCAAAATGGTTAGAGCCGTTTTAGTGAAAATTGTAAAATTGATAATATAAAATGGGATGTGGTTAGCCGATTTTGATGAAAATGTAACATCCCAGGCATGTACAAACTTTAAATACTCAACGACTTGACTTGTGTACGACTTTTGAGCTAAACCCTTCACATAGTCGGTCATAGAAATTGCATCATCTATTTCGTAGGTTGATGACTTTATTCCATTTAATGTTTTTCTTTTTCTATTAAGGTTACAAGAAAACTTCAACAATGTTTCTCAATTTTGTTTTAACTAATGCCAGGATAAAAGCTATAATTATGACCTGTATAAAAAACTGTCCTTGTCCAAAAAACATTAAAATAGTGACGTTTGTAACCAAGATTAAGGAAGCAGTGAAAAAAAAAAAACTTTTGTTTCCTGAGCAGATGATTAATTGATATTTTAGCATGTGCATGTACTCTTACATCTTATTGTATCTTGACTATCTTTTCTTGATGTTTAGATGTGGCATGCCATAATATTGTATATAGAATAAGTATATTTTTTTTGTTATTTGTATTATCTTAAATATCTTCCTTTTTATCTTTAATTGTATATAGTAATTATGTTTGATTCCCTCTTTTTCCTTGTATTTTATTTCTTTTTATTGTACATAGTATTAATTCTGTAAATATTTCTTTCTGAAAATAAAAAAATATCCAACCTAACCCTTCTCACCTGAGCTAGCATGGTAGAATAAATGATATATCATGGCCAAATCATGGGTAAGTAACTTATATTCTCTATAATTATCTCTTTAGAGATGAAAGGCTGGTAAGCCAGGCGCCCAACAAATAAAAATTCTTGTGGAAAATTATATTTATTAAAAATTATTTTATTATATTTTTATTTTATCCTTTTTTTGGTCATACGTTACATGAAGCAAATCAATCTTCACGGAAAATAGTAATGACGATACTGTACCACCAATCAACGATAGTCATAGCTTTGAAGAAAAAGAAAAAAAAATCATGGAGCGAAAGAAAGAAACTGGGAGGAGAAAAATTAATGGACAGTTTGACCACTTACTGGTGCTATTGTTTTTAGAATATCATTTCATAACTGGCAAAGAAATATCCGGAGATCTTGCATTAGCAATCTGATAAATAAAATGAAATTTTCATTGTTTGATACAATTTATATGACTGTGACTGTGTACATACCCATTTTGCGGGACTTAGTTATTTGGACTCAAGGCACCTCAAAACATGTATTTCCGTTGAAAACTCATATTCTAAAATTTTCATGATCTCAATATTTTTCCTTATTACGTATTGCATGTATAGGTAAGTGAAAATAAAAATAGTCATCCAACCTGATCATGGGATCTACTATTTGTGCCTCCTTTTCTCTCACTTTAAATCCTAAAATGCCATTTTTTCTTGATTGATTACAAAGGTACATTGTTGAAAATAATAAACCCTAAGTCATCTAAAAATTAATTGCATTGTTATGTATTTATTATGGGCTATTTACTTCCATACTCTCACCAGTTTTTCTTCAGATTTTTTTTTTTTTTTTTTTTAGTACATGTTTAATGAGATATTATAGGTGTTTCTATAAATATAATACTGATACCATTTCTTTCAGATAAGTTATGGTGAAATGGATTTTGTATATCCACAACAGCTGTTAAATATGTCTTTTGAACGTCAGAGGCTGATATTTAAAAATATCCATAGATATAACTATTCAGCTCACCAATTGCCATCTGTAAGTACTCACTTATTTCACATCATTGAAACTTTTATTGTATTATGAATAGCTTCATAAGATTCGTCAATGAGATTCTGACACATCCTTCGTTTCTGACTCATGCCGAATTAGGGTGTCTCTTCCTCTCCTTCAGAAGACAATACATTCCAAATAATCAATAACTAATGCCTTTAAGGGAATTAATATATTTATTTATCTCAGGTGTGGGTTACTGACAATCAGATCAACTCAGACAGACTATTATTATTTACACTATTTATACTAAAATTAAACACTTCCAAAAACGTATATACAATAATTGTTTATATATGTGATAGGGATCGTTTTATACCTTTCCTTACCTTACTATTTTAAGTAAGGCTATTTAAAGTTAGGATAGGATAGGTGTGCTCCACGTAGGATAGGTGTGCTGAAGGCACTAGTTACACTTTTGGCCAGTGGCTAAGTGCCCAGCCCTTTTTTTTTCTTTTTTCTGACCCCCAGAAAACTTTATTTAAACTAATTACAATATATAGCTAACTAATAAATGTATAAGGCGGGATATTTCTTTATAACTAATAAATGTATAATGTAGAAGGCAGCAAATGCTTGCTATTTTTCTGTGACAAAACTACTTAGTTCGCGCCTCTTGTCCCGAAACTTAAAAATTAGAATCTATAAAACAATTATCTTGCCTACAGTTCTTTATGGGTGCGAAACTTGGCCGCTTACATTAAGGGATGAGCAGCGTCTTAAGGTGTTTGAAAATAAAGTATTGCGTAGAATATTCGGACCGGAGAGTTCAGAGGATTACACAACACCGAATTGCGTGAACTGTAAGCGTCCGAGGGGTAGACCGAAGCGAAGGTGGGAAGATTGCATTAAAGCCGATCTGAAGGGACTGGGTTTGGACGGCGAACGATGGAGGGAGGTGTGCAATAAGCGATTGGTGGTGTCGGCATCGAACCTTCGGGTTCGCTAAGCCTTTTTATTATTATTATAAATGTATATAGAAAATATTCATTGAACCTTTGCTTACCCAAAGGTATTTTAAGGTGGGGAACCGATTATTCGGTAAGCATTAGATACATTCTGTGGCCTTAGGCATTAATTTCTTTACCGGGCATGGAGTGAGTGATCGTCCTGCTTTTATTCATAAAGGATAGGGATTGGGATCTATTTACATATTTACAATTTTTATATATTTACTCTATGTACAAATGTGAGGGTTTAGACTGCCGAGTCCAAACACCCTCTTTTGTCAAGGGCATCTACCAGGGAGACTTTGCCTTGCCACTTTCCAGGCCTGGGCAGAGGGGCAATTTCTTGGAATAATGGATTTGTACAGGACTTCAGCCCATCAAAAAATTTGATAGGCCTCCGGCCAATGAATTCCGGGACCGAGGGTAGTTGCAGCTCCTGATAGATGTCTCTGTTTCTGGATCGCTGGAGGTGGGTACCTCTGAAGGACGGAGTCTTGGTATCCCTGCAGTCTCTGGAGTGTCGTCTGGTAAAGGTGTTGGAGAAGCGGTGCACGTAGCAGCGTAGGTCTGATGACCGCCTTGTATATCTGTAGTTTTAATCTCAGCGAGAGCTGCGGCAACTTCAGCAGGTGATAGAGCCTATGTGACTTGTTTTGCCAGCTTGAGTCTCTGTCTGACGTGACTGGAGAATGTGAGGTGCCTTTCCAATCCAATGTCACGCTGAGATAGACTACTGAGGTGGAGATCCGCTGGTCCACACTACCGATGGTGAAGTGAGTGGGTAGAGGCTTTTTTCCTTGCTGGAACGACATCGCAATAGCATCGGTCTTTGTGGGGTTCACTCTGATGCCATTTTTCTCTCTAACGATGACATCAGTGGCTTTTTCTGCATGCTTGAAGGCTCTCTTTGCATTGGTGCATAGATCCTGATATCATCAGCATAGGCTGCTACCACTGCGTTTGGATGCTTGAGTGCCACTACTGGCGCCATGAAAATGATGAACAGTATTGGCCCCAACACAGACCCTTGAGGTACTCCACAGGTGGTATCGAGTGGGTCAGAGTAGTCGTCATCAACTCGTACGACGAGAGATCTTCCGCTAAGGTAGCTTCTGATCAGTCAGCATAGAGGGGCTGGGAACTTGTACTCTTTCAGTTGTTGGAGTAACAGCGCGCAAGACACGCAGTCAAAGGCCTCGCTGCAGTCCAATGAGATGAGTGCCGTAGCTCTGTTGTGATTCATCTGCTCTATGGTGTGTGCCTGAAGTTTCGTCAGGTGGTGTTCGCAGACGACGCCTCGTTGGAAACCTGTCTGTTCTGGCGGTAATGTTTTTCTCCCTACAGTGTTTCATGAGATGGTGATGAATCAAGCGCTTGAAGACCTTGCTGATGTGCGAGAGGAGGCTGATCGGGCGATAGTGCTCAGCCGCATCACTTTCTTCCCCGGCTTGAGTAGGGGTACTATGATTGCTTGTTTCCAGGATATGGGAAAGTACAATTCGCAGGCATGAGTTGAGGATGTTCAGGAGGAAGGCTTTACCCTTCCTTGAGAGCATCGTCAGTAGCACATACGGTATCTCGTCCTGTCCTGACTTGTTTCCCTTGGTGCACCGTAATACCGACACAAGCAGGTTAATATTGGAGAAAACAGGCTTCTCGGTAAGAGTAGGAGATGGTCCATCCTGTACATGAGGGGCACTTCTTGTCCACTCAGCATCACCCGCTGCATAGCCTTTCGCCAGTAATTAAGCCTGTTCCCCAGGTGTTAGCAGCGCGTCTCCTTCTGTCAGATGCGCGCTTCTCTTCTTGCTGACGAAAGTCCTGACGATTCTCCACAACTGGCGGTGATCATCGTGAGTCCTCCTTAGCTGTTCGTGCCAGAGAGAAATTTTCCAGTCACGCATGAGGCTAGCTATCTGCCGGGTTATCGCATTTATGGCGGGCTTCAGGCTATAATCACGCGTGCGCTGGGAGATGTTTCTGAGGTTGTTCTGTTGGCTGATTAGTTCAAGGATGTGCTGTGGTGGTCTTCTGATCTTGCGAGGCGAACCTGGGGATGTTACGATTGGCTAATTCCTGAATGGTGGTGGTGATGACTTTCACAGCACTGCCCACCACATCTCGAGTCATGCACGGTGTAATAGCTGGTAGTGTGATCTCAACGCAAGACCTGTATTCTTTCCAGTTTACCTTGTTTAGTAGGTACTTGCTCGCAGGTGGTGTGGCAGTCCGTAATGGTGTGCAGTTCTCTGGTTAACAGCAGGTCTAACATTGAGGTCCACTCAGGACGGGCTGCGTGTCGAAAAGTGTGCACACCTGGGTGGAAGACGACCGGGATGGTCTTGGTGATGTACCTCCCCATGGGATTGTCGCTACCACACAGCCAGGAAGAGTGTCAAGCATTAAAGTCACCAATGACTACATGCCGACTCCTCGCCTGGGCGTGTTGTAACAGGAGCTTGACAGATGTGAGATTTGCCCTCGGCCTCCTATTGACACAGGTGAACGTATCGCGATTTTTAAATCGCACGTCCACTATGACTATGTGAGTTCCCTCGGTAGGTTCCACATGGTTAGTGATGGTTTTAGAAGGTACATCTCTTCTGACCAGTATAGTGACGCCCTCAGTTAGCCCAGGGGAGCACACCTCCCGGTACACAGTATACCCCTGGAAAATTACTTGAAACGATGCGGGCAACATTGTGTCAGTCAGTGCCACAACCGATGGTCTGTCCTGCTGTAGGACGAACCTTCTTCGATAGGAGGCCTCTGATGTTCAGATTGACTACGAGGTGCTTAGTCATTTTTCTTGATGGACATCACAGTTTGGAGGAGAGTTGTTATGAAACTCCTTTTATTTTTATTAATTCCTTTTATTTTTGTTAAATTACAAACCATAAATACTTATATTAAAAATATTATAAACATCAATTGTTCTGAAAAAAAAATTATTATAATAAGAAATAATGAATAGATTCTAAAAGAAATACATAGTTCACTGGGCATCTAACAGGTTGCGATACAAAAATTGCTATTCATTATTAGAACCATTAATGACTTCCAAAAATTAATAACATAATTCCTAAGAACAAGTCCTAGAGGGCGCCACACGCATCCTCTAATACAATATACCCTACCACAAGTTATTTACAATTTACCTTCCTTGGAGAAACAGCTCCAGTTCTGTCTGCACTAATACGTAGTACCTTTAACTTTTTAATAGTTATTTACATGATATCGTTCTTACAATTTTTTAAATTACAACTAAAATAATAAGAACTATTATTTTAGTAGATGACTTTAAATTGAATTTATAAAAATTCTATTTATAAAAATGAAAATATGAATTTTCATTAAGTTAAAATATTAAAATAAATTTTGTAAAATTATATTAATTAAATTATATATTCACATATCTAACATATTTTGTAAAGTTCAAGATAATAAAAGAACTAAACATGAAATAAGTTAATATTTACAATTCTATAAAGGTACTAACAAAATATATAAATATATTGACATTTATTTTTCAATCTAAATTTACACTAAATATTTGCAAATAGAATATGTAATTGGAAATATTGTTAATTATGTTATAAACGTAAAACATTTCCTCAGAACGACCAACTAACTTCTGGTGAAGCTGTGCCTCGTGCTATGGAAGAAGAAACTTATTTTGACTTTGAGGTAGTATTTCAATGATTTTTCATGTTGTAGTCATTTCATTTGTTATTTTTTGTTCTATAAACTTATTTAAATTGACATAATTATTAATTGCATACAAATAATCAATTTATTTATTAGGAAACATCTGTTGATAGCTCTGACAGCGATTCTGATAAACTCCCTGTTCTGGTACCAATTCAAGAAACGGTAAGAATTGGAAATGTGTGTACGATAGCACTTTAGTAAATAGTAGATAAGGATAAGTTGAAATTGATTTTAAAAATAAAACTTTCCACCATGATTTGAAATATTGTTTTGTTACAATTTAATATCTGGTGTTATAAATTAATTGGATATTTGCATAAATTTTCGATTTGCAATTGTAATTAGTGTTAAAGAAAAGTTGTGGGGTTGGTACTGCTTCACGAGAGTGGAGACAGCGCCTACAAGCACCACCTAGCTCATAGCATTCATTATAGAATATTGTTTCCAGCTTTAAAACTTCGACCCAAGAAATATCTCTGTTTATTCTCACACCCTATTGTCCCTAAATAAAAATATTTAATTTAAAATGTAATATTTTAGCTATCATAAATAAATAAAATAGGAGCTGAAAGAGGTTGAGCAATGTCATCTTTGCCATACTCATCCATCAGCCTATAGTTGATTGATTTCGCCACCTCAGCTCGTAGAAGCTCTGTTATATAATGTTTTTAATTAAATATGATTTTTTTTATTATTATTATGTAAAAATAAATCAATCTTAATGTTATATACAAGAGAAGTTGGTTGAGGATCATAGTCATTGGAAGTATATAAAATAATTATATTTATTTTAATTTTTGAAGTGAAAACTTCTTTTGACAAGTTTTGCACTTTTTTGTAGAGAGTGAATTGGATTGAGCCTGTCAGATTTCTGATATGTAATGTTCAGTTGGAGTCGACTAATTGAAGTTTTTGCATATGGTTTAAAATATCTCAAAAACTAAAACACTGCATATTGTTAGTGAAGGAAATATTCATCATTTCATCCTCTTTGTAATGAGATTTTATTTTTAATTGTATCTTAAAGTGAAGGCGTGTTAGAGAGGCGAAAAGGGAAAAAACAGCATTGAAAACCAATTAATAACAAGTTTTATTGAAAATATGGATTAAAATATCTCAGAAACTAAAAATCGGACCTGCATACTATAAGCGAGAGAAATGTTCAGCATTTCATCCTCTTTATAATGAGCTATTATTTATAATTTATATTTGATATTATTAATCTCGCCTTGTTGATGTTTTCATTTCTATCGTGTGGTCTAAAGCACACATCTTTAAGTTTTTTTTATTTTTCTTATTTATCTTCTCACACAACTTTCTCACTTTGCTCTTTTCATATCCAGATCTTCTTCATTTATCCTAAGGGAGATACTTATTTTATAGGTATATAAGTAAGAATATTTTTTTCTTTACAGTGATATATTCTCCCATTTTTTTCCCACTCAATTATATCATTATAACGTTTCGGGATCCACTTATATCCCATCTTCAGACTAGAAATTAAAACATATCGCTATTAACAATTATACATGAATAATAAAGCATGTAGTAATTTTAAATTTATTATTTATTTAATTATTGCTATTATTATATGTATTTTATTATTTTCAATGTTGAATATATTATTTGGAAATCTTATTTAAGTCTCCTCTAGGGAGAGTCTAGCCGGATACTGAAAATTAAATTTTAAACAGGGGTCAATTACTACATTTTTAGCAATAAGACAAAAAATAAAACATTTTATTAACATGGCAAGTCTTATGGAGAATTAAGATGATGCAGGTTACTGGTAAGATTGGCAAAATAAAATAAAAATTAAATTATTGTTGTTTTTATTTATATTGATAAATGCTTTATTATTCATATATAATTGTTAATATTTTGTAATTTCTAGTCTGAAGATGGGATATAAGTGGATCCCGAAACGTTATATATAATGATATAATTGAATAGGAAAAAAATGGGAGAATATATCACTGTGAAAAAAAAATTCTTACTTATATATCCAGATGTATTTTTTAAATTTATATAACTTAATATGCTCCTTCAGTTCTGCCACAGCCCTCAGATACGCTGTCATTTCCATTTTTTAGCTAAATACTAAATTTTGTTATTATTATTTAAAAACTGGAATCTCCATTGTTTATACATTATTTATCACTTCAATTCTATTGTAGCTGAAATTTACACGATATTTTTTTCCGTGCAAGTATCCAATTACAAAGCTATAGATTTTTCAAAGAGATATAAATTTTTTAAACCCAATGTTACCTCCTCATAAATCTAATATACTGCCCATTTACATTTTACGCACTTATTATTTATTCTTTGTTTTCTAAATTGAAGTTAATTATCAAAACATTAATTGTACTATTTCAGTTAGTAGTATATCATTTAAGTTATTCATGTTCTCATAACATTACATTTTTTTTTTAAATATTAAGTACAAGTTTAATATTTGTATCTTTTCACCAATTTATTTGTCAGGAATCTGCTAATAATGAAACTACTCCTTTACTATTATCAATGGAAGAAATGCCGCAGGAAGCTGATGAGGAAATCCAAAAAACAGAATCTGATGAGGAAATCCAAAAAACAGAATCTGATGAGCAAATCCAAAAAACAGAATCTGATGAGGAAATCCCAAAAATAGAATCTGAGATAACAATTATTACTGTTTCATCGGTATTTGATCATATTTTTTACATTTGATTATTTTATATTTTTACTGTTTCAAAATTTGTATGGTATATTTAATAATTTAGTACATTATTATGATTTTCAGGCTTATTAAAAATAATATCAATGATTTAATAAATTTATTACTTATTGTTAATAATAATTTACAATTAAATGTAATAACTCTTATATTTTACAAATAATAATATAACCTCGGCAGATCACTTTATACTGTTAGGATTCTTTCTAAATAAATAAGAGGTTGTTAAATAATAAACAAAATTATAAGAATATTAATGTATTAAATTTAAATTTATAATTATTTTATCTCAGGTATAGGTTACTGAGAATTAGATCAAAACACTCAGACAAACTGTTATTTACTCTATTTATACTAAAATTAAACATTGATTTTAAAATAATGTCAAGTATGGATTGGCAAGCTAACGTTTTTTCTATATACACTGTTTCTTCCTTTGTGTCACTGAATTCATTTGTCTTCTAACATTTTCCTATGCTCTGCCAAACACATCTTCCAAAATGGTAACACTTTCTTCTACTCAACACCAACTCCCTGGGAGATCCTCTCTCTTGTAATTCCAAACAACTAGTGACTGCCAAACAACAACTTCCAAGATGATAATACTATTACTGAGTTTTACCCACTGGAGCCAGGTTCCCTTCTATCCTCTGTTCACTCACAACTCACAGGCAACATAATAACGTAATCTTAACACATATTCTTCTGGATGACAAAAATTCTTCATTTGTACATCACAGAAAATAATTGATTTTGTTAAACTAACACCAATTCGGTCAGATTTCTATGGCTGCATTGTATTTAAGCCAATAAATTCTTGTTCTTTTAATTTCCAAAACATTACTGGAAGAAAATGTGTTAAAACTGATAATTTAACTTCAGACTATAAAAAAAAATATTTTGGAGTTAATAACTGAATCACTAATATTTTGGAGTTAATAACTGAATCACTGAATTCAAATTATAACTTAACCAATGATTGTATTCTATGGTTTCTTAAGTTTGACCTATTAGGTAACATTGTGGAGAACAAATAAAAACACAATAACTTACAAGTGTTTGTTTTATTAAACTTGACCTATTTGGTAAGGTTGCAGAGAAAAAATAAAATTTAATGTTATACAAATTATAATTATTAAAAACATTAGCAAATTATGATTGGTTTCCAAAAATAATTGTTACAAATGTGAAGACTCAGTAAAGTTAATATTGAATTCTTTTAAATCAAACAAAATTTTAAAGTTTAAATTTAAATCTAGTTCAGTGATAGACAATATTAAACGCAGCCAAATTGTTAACCTCGATGTTTTATGCCTAAAAACCTTAGCAAACAACAACAAATTGTTAAAAATGGTAAATTTTTAGTAAAGACCAACAAAATCACAATATATCATCGGTTTATTGCAAAAAGTTATTAAATGACATTTTATAACCTCAAATCACTAAGAATTTAGTTGAATTTTCCCTTTGTAAAATCAGAAAATTGAGCGCTTTTTGTGACTTTGTTTGATACATATAAAAGGGTTTGGTCATTACTGTGTTTTTTATCAAATATGTACGTACTGACTTTTTGCTATAAACCGTTGACTTACCCAGCAAGATAATAATACACAAAGAGTCACTTCTTCATTGATTCAGGCCAGTCCAACTCATCAATCCACATTGCAAGAAGTACTGAAGGAAGTAGAAGAATATTTAGAAAAGGAAGCAGGAGTCCCAGCTGAATTGCCGGTATTTACGCACATTTTTCACATTCATATCCATTAGCTTAGAATTAATATGTTCATTTGTTTTTCAATTAATATTTTCATCTTTATGTAAAGGAAGGAAAAAATCTTCTCTCCTTAGATTTGCTGATTCTAATTATTTTATATAATATACATACCTAGTCCTGTCATATATATTGTTACTAGGAAATATATACAGATATCAACAGAAATTATTTTTTTTCAAAAACTTTATTAGAAAATAAAATTATATCTGTAGAGACTAAAATAAAAAAGACATTACTCAAAATGTTCCCCTTTTGCCTTTACACAGACATGTAATCTCCGTAGCCAGTCATCAATAGTAGCACGCATCACTTCTTGAGGAAACAGACCACCTAGTCGTATCAGAGATTGTTTGAGACTTTCCAAGTTAGGTTGTGCTCTGTGGCATGCCATCCTCTCCAGTTCGGACCAAAGCCGATAATCTAATGTGTTGAGATCAAGGCTTCCTGAGGGCCAATCCGAGGCAGAGATGAACTCTGCAATGTTCTTTTGCAGCCACTGCTGAGTTGACCGGGCCTTGTGAGCTGGAGCGGAATCCTGCTGGAAAACCCAATGACTCCCAGCAAAGTATCATTTAGAGCTTGACAACAGGTTCCAAAATATCGTTCTGATAGTTTTTAGCGCCTGTTTTAACTCCTTTTTCACAAAAATGGAGCTTTGTGGTGCCATCAAAACAAACTCTCCACCAAACCATCTCTGAGGCAGAGTGATGACCTCTTTCCACTCTTCCAATGACTTCCTGGGCTTTTTTAGAGCTGTGTGCATACACACGGTCATTTTGTCGATTAAATTTTTCTTCAATTGTAAATATGTTCTCATCGCTGAACAAAATCTTTCGATGAAGACCGTTGATGTAACGGCCAAGGAGCACTTTGTATCTATCCACTAATTTTTTTGAAGGAAGTGGTTAGCCTTTGTCCTATTATTCTTCGAAATGCACCCATCCTAAGCTCACTTTTTACTATGCAAGACATGGTTCTGGCAGAGATTCCCATTTCCCGAGACATGATTTGTTGTTTTTTAATGGGATATCTTCTGGTTTTGAGCAGCCACTGCATTTGCCGTTCTCACAGTGCAAGGAAGGCCCGGTCGAGGTCTGTTACATACAGATAGGGATTCATTATATATATTTATAGTGCAGTGCCCGAACATACGGCTGGTACACAAATATTTCAAAGGGTTAAAGATCTCTGACCTACATTTTCCAACTTTGTGCAAGGTGTTGACAGCTATTCAGTTTTCTTTATCACCCTACTTTTTGTGGAGATTTACCTAGTGAAAAGCTCGGGTAAAGTCGACTGGAGTTTTGGAATATGGATTTAAATATTTCAAAAACTAAAAATCAGACCTCTTATGAAATGTTAATAATTTCATTCTGTCTGTAATGATCTGTTCAAAATTGCATCTTAACATGATGCCATGTTTGAGAGGCAAAAAGGGGGAGGGGAAGTGTCGACAACCAAATTATAACGAGTTTTATTGAATATATGGAATACATTTTTTCAGAAACTAAAAATTAGACCTGCATACTGTAAGCGAGGGAATTGTTCAATATTTTATCCTCTTTATAATGAGCTATTATTTATAATTTATATTTCATATTATTAATATCACCTAGTTGATGTTTTCACTTCTATCAAGTGGCCTAAAGCACACACCTTAGTTTTTTATTTTATTCCTTTAATTATACTATACTATATACTATATCATGTGTTTTTTGTATGTACATGTTCAAAGTTCTTACCTTTTAAAAATGTATTTATCCAATAGGACATCGCTAAGCTAAGTGGTGATCCCGTTGATCCATCAGGGCAGCCATCTCAAGAACAACAATCGCAACAAGATGATGGAGAAGATTCTAAGGAAAAAACAGAAAATGGAGTTCAATGCCCGGTATTTTTTTACTTTTGTTTTTCCGCAGGTTTATTATCAATTTATGCTTTAATTATTTTTTATGAGAAAAGTTTTCAAATTTTTAGTATAAATTCTTTTATAATTTGAACTTTTCTTCTATAATATTTTAGTTCAATAAAAATCTTTCTTCTTCCTCCGTATCTGCCTTTCAGCCTGGGGGAGCCTCAAGACACTTCGACCATACATCCCTGTCTCTCGCCAATTCCTTCATCTGACTTAGGGTTTTTCCTCTTTCCTCACCTAGTCGCTGTATATGTCCCAGAAATGCTCTTCTAGGTCTGCCTCGTGGCCTCGCTTCCATGCATTTCCTTGGTACTTTTCCATTCTACACATGTGCCCATACCATCTAAGTTGCTGGCATTCCATAGTTGCTTTCATTGAGGGTATCAGGAGTTCCTCTCTTATTCTTTCATTCTTTCTCTGTCTCTCCTGTTTTTCCTAAAAAAAATTGTAAAACTTTCATTTCAGCAGCCGTAATCATGCGTAAGTGCTTCTCTTGGCTAACCTAGCTTTCGCTGCCATATAATAATGTAGGTAGACTGCTTTATAGTTTGTTTTTTTTTTCCTGTTCCTCGCCTTTTAGGCTATACGAGATTTTCCCGGACCAGAGGGTGAGGGCGGGGAATTTAAAATCCCCTCTGGCACCGGGACGCGAACTCGTGACTATTTTTCATATCATAGAATCATATATCCGGTTGCCGGGCAACGGCGGTGCAATGCACACACGTTAGCCCATTCGGCCACCCCGCCCTCGACTGCTTTATAGATGTGGAATTTGACATTCCTTCCTACCTCTCTCTTTTCCCCAATTGTGTTGCAAATTTGGTAATATGTACTGTTAGATTTATTTATCCTGTTGGAAACTTCTTGTGCTATTTTCCCAGATTTGTTGCAAATTGTTCCAAGGTAGGTGTAGTAGTCCACATTCTCCAGCTCTTCTCCATTGCATATCATTCCTAAATCTCCCACATTCCCCTCACCTCTTGCTACAGTCATGACCTTGCTCTTGTGGCTGTTGATAATCATTCCTTTATGAGCGAGTTCTTCCTGCCATTCTGTAATGGCCTGTTGCAGTATTTCTTGAGAGTTGGTCACCAGCACGATATCGTCTGCATGTGAGAACGCCTGCACTTTAACTATTTTCATGTTCCACATACCGACTGCAGTCTAAGCTGTTCTTCTGCATATTTTGTGGATTTCGTCTATAAAGGTGATAAACAATAATGGGCTCAACAAAAATCATGGCTTCTAAATCAGTTCTTGATTGATTTTCATTTCTACTTTTTTTAATATAAAATTTGATATGATTAATATTATATTTTATTAATGATGCATGACACTATTATTTATTTTCACACAGTTTGGTTAGAGAAAATATAATAAAATAGTTGGTTCAAAACAGGATTAGATATAATAACTAACTGCAAGGCCAATATTTTTTTTAAACTGAAAGTTAATAAAGGACACAGAGGTTTGAAATTAACGTAGGGTTGTACAGTTTTAAATTGCATAAGCCAATCTTGTAATGATATATTACCTATAGTAATTTACTTTTTCTAATTACTTTCAAAAGTTCCCAAAACTCTTTACTATTATTAACCTTTTTCAGACGCTGGACACAATCTATATAATATTGCTTTTTTTATAATATACATAGACTTTTATAAGTGCTATTTGAATTTATATACTGTGATCTATTGTGAGGTGACAAAGTTTTTCTAAATAACTTTAAACTTATAATGACATCTTTCTATCCTGGAAACACTCCTTATCAAACCATGAATTTTTACTTTTATATACTGACCTTGGGTAAGGATTATAATTAGCAGACCTCTTGATGATATTTGAGAGAATGTCTATCAAATCTTATACTGAATGCTCATTTACAGATAAATGGTTAATTAAACCATTCACCCTAGAATGATAAACTAACTCATTTTGTTTCAACCAATTAATTTTTGGGAGAAGTGGTAAAGTAGACTGTTCAATTACCTTATTTTTAATTTTGAAAGAAATAATAATCGGCATGTGGTCCGAAAAATTTTTAATAATAATATAATAGAAAATAACTTTATTCTGGGACAAAGTCCCTTTAGAATAACAAAGTAGAACATAATTAAAATACTACATCTGGCCAAAATAAAACAATAATAAAAAAGAGAAAGTAAAGAAAATATTAGTTAAACAAGCTATATACAAAAAAAAAAAATCTATATATAAAACATTTAAATATGTACAGTAGAAAAAATTATAATTATAGTCTTTTGAAAAATAAAATAATAAAAAATACATTGAGTTCTTCTTTAAAATGAGGTGTTTTTCTGCTAACAAAGAAAAGACAAAACTGACAATATAAAATATCAGTGTCTTTAAATAATGATTAATATGTAGACTCATCATTGTCAAATGCTAGAGGTACAGATTTAATTATATACCAATAAAAAAAAATAATAAAAATAAAAAACAAACAATAGATGCGGTCAGTGGCATTAAGAGCCGGAAAATATTGTAATATCTCTAGTGAAGTAGTCAGTATAGAATAGCACTGTCGTTTGATGATGACTAGAAGTGTATAATATCGAAAGTTTAGCAAGAATCTGACTGTTTTTGGGATAGGAATTGGAATAGAAGGGATTTGAATGTGGATATGGAGGGGAATGCTGAATTTTGTTAGGTAGAATTCCAGAAATTGACAGCGCGAGCTATAAAGGAATTCTGAAATGAGGCAGATTTGTGCGAAGGGATGTAGAGGTCAGAAGGTCGAGATCTTGTTGAAAGGGAATGGACTGAGGACGTGAATTGGAGAAGGTTGTAGGCGTAAGAAGGACGATGGATTATAAGCTAAAATTTCCACCGATTGTTCTTCTTTCTGTAATTGTGAGACATTCTCAAAATGATTCCTTGAACTAGACGATACGTTTTCCTTAGATGCATCCTAGGTTAGTACCATATTAAAGTATATTATCCACATCCACAAAAGTTCTAATATTCTGTTTCAGGTTTTTGATCCATCCTTGCTGGCTCCTGGATGTAGCAAATGGACAAGGCCTCGCCCAATTTAATTTTCTTGTTTATTCTGCTTGTGGTGCTTTACTAGCATCACGGAAACCTTTGTTAAGGCGCATTTACATTATTATCTGAAATATCATGTTTATTGTCAAATTAATTTTAATAAAGTAAAATAATGTTCTAATAAAAAGTAGTATATAATAATAATAATGTTGATTATCCTAATCAGCATTATTCATTTGAACATACTCTATAATACACTGAAGACAGGAGTAAGGCAAAATGAGTTGTGATGTTCGGATGGCAACCTTGAAAAGGTCGTTTCCTGAGACAGAGTTTAAGCAGTTACTGCATTACACTTAAGTTTTCTGTCATTAAAACACTAAATAAAATATCTAATATGTAATCAATTAATATATTATCATATTTTATTAAAAATTGCTTCCTTTTTGTCATATTTTTTAACAATTGCTTTCAAGAACAAGAACATAAATTATAGAGTAAGTCATTTTGCATTCTACATGACAAATCACTAGTTACATACTTACATGTCTTTGTTTTTTATTGTTTAAGATCTTATTACAATAACAGATCCTATTATATCATATAATTACGTTTTCAAATTATCAAGCAGTGACCAATTAAAAGCCATACAAATACAACACTATCTTTAAATTGGTACTGCTGCTTGATTATTAACCTATAAATTTGCTTTCAAGTATAAACAAGTTGGGACTCCTGTCTTGCCATGTAATTTACATTAAAAAGATATGTATTATTGTAATTTTTGTAGTTCTTATTTGATCAGGTAATTGTGAATCTTTTAATTGAAAAACTAATTGATAAAATTGCATGTCTTTTGTTTGATGATTATAAATAAAAAATTTATAAATGTAATTAGAAATGTTATATTTTGTCCTAGAGCTCATGATTTATTTCCTGGTCCTATGAAGTATTTTAGAAATTGGATGAAAGATATTTTTCTTTTCCAATATTTATTACTAATTACAATGTTTAAAGCCAGAGTTATACATTTTCAAAACACCAGAAAAACAGTGGTAAAAAATACAACACGCTTCTGTTATTCCAGAGAAACAAATGGAAGCAACAGATAATGAAAAATGTAAAATTCAGCAAAGAAGATTGTGGAAGAAAAAAAAAATCATCTAAATCATAGCAGGTAACCACAAAATTCAACAGCACATCTCAACAAGCAAGCAACACTTATCTCAACTACCTTTAATTTGTGTTGGAAAACCAGTAGATAAACATGGGGCTTGGAGCGTTAACGTTGGCTTATAGAAAAACTCATTTTTCATGGTTTGGAAAATGTTACCTTTAAAATTAAAATATGTATTATAATATATTCTCTCAGGCAGTTTTGATTAAAAGCGACTAATTTTAACCATTTATTGATTACTATTTGGCCTGTGCAAAGTATATTGATCAATGAACAAATGACAAAATAAATTATAATAAACCAAGGAAAAGAATTTAATTAATTTAAATAAGCATGTTTACAAATTAGAATAACTTCTTGTATCTTTACTAATAATGGCCGGACTTCTATTAATTTTTTTTTTGTGTGTGTTGGGAATTTAATAACCTTTCAAATAACCAAGGGAGTAGTGAAGAATTTTTAATATGTTTAGAAACAGGGTCTACTCATATTGGTTTCAATATTATGAAGTGTTCGTTGAATTGGTTGGTTAAGCTTGTGGAAATGGAGAAATTTAAATATCCTGAAATATGTTTCTGTAAAAGCTAAGAAATAAATGTTTCTTAGCTAATCCTGCTCTATCGAATTATAATTGGTGTTCTTTGCTAAAAGTATTGTTAGATACTAAAGGGAAAGCAATCTAGTTTATCGAACCAATTGGGCCATAATTAAAACAAATATTAACAGGATATTAAATAGATGTAAACAATATTTGCTGGACAGTGAACATTTAAACCTTTTCCTTCATAATGACCATATCACCCCCGTATTTCTTAATTTCAAATATACGAAACTATTAATGCAGATCTGTATCTCGGGAAAATATATGATCAAGATTACTGTTAATAATAAAATTCTGAAAATTACTCCACAACTCGAGTGCAAAATGTGAAACACTTCATCACGTATTATTTAAATGCCCAATTTACAATAGGTTAAGGTTAAGAATTTAGCAGGGTATGGAAAATCTTGATGGGATAGAAATGAGAAAATTATATTTTTTTTATATCAAATTGTAGAGAATTGGTAGGGTAATCTGGAATATTGTCCTCCGCATATTATGGCAAAAATTTCATATTGCACATTAGCATGTAATCTGTCCAGGTCTTTTTTCTTGGTTCTCTTAGGTATAAGGGTAATATTTTAATTTAATTTTAAAACAGATTAGTATTTAGAGAAACAAACGTGTATTTATATATGTATATTGTTTACAATTTTAGATTTGATAATTGGAACTATTTCAACTGTCTGATTTTTACTGAATACGATTTTTAATTTATCCTCAAGAGTGTTGTAATGTAGTATAAAAAGGAATGAATTGGTATTTCCATAAGGATAATAATGTTTGTTATTGACTCCATTTGTATAGGCTTCTTCTCTTAAAACAAATAAAGATTGAATAATTAGCGGTGCAAATAACCATAAAATGCATAATTTTTTTAGTCATCTGCGAATATATCTTTTTTTCCTTCATAACTTTGTGCCTGAAGGTTTGGAGTTGTGTGAATATTTTTCTCACCTGAAAGAGAGGGAAATCTTGAAAATAATAACTCAATATTTTTTTTACATATTTTATTTTTTGGATTTGATGAACAATAATTTTTAGTAAAAAAAAAAAAAGTTAAACATGGAAAAATAATAAAATAAAAATATTGCACAGTGCTCACATTTTATCACAGGACTTTCATATTCATAACCCTTTTTTTTTTTTTTTTTTTTTTTTTTTTTTTTTTTTTTTTTTTTTTTTTTTTTTTTTTTTTTTTTTTTTAGAACTAGGTTTATCCCTAACAATTTCATTTTAGGATTATATTTTAATTATTTATAAGTGCCACGATTTATTTTAGCAGACCAGAAAACCACTGTAATATATAGATATAAAACGAAATTTATGAAAAGAACAGATGTATATCTATATAATAGTATTGGAGCCAGTATTTTGTTAAGCACTCTTAAGTATGGATGCTAATTCTAACCTTTCAGACAAGCTCAAATTTGTTAATTATCAAATTATTTCATGATTTGTATTTCGCTATTTTTTATTGCAGGTGACAATGTGAAATGGATAATTACTTCAAATTAAAATGAATTATGCTAGTTTAAAGAAGTAATTTATGAAAATTAAGCCTCTAAGATCTGTTAGAGAACATCAATGTGAATAACACCTATATTATATTTAAAACTGCCTAATTTTACACGGATATAATGAATTTAAACAAAATGTTAGTGCTGAAAAATTTGGGGATCGATATTATAAAGTGGCACTTTCGGAAAGCCGATTTTAATTTAAAAAGTTGCAGTAACATCCCAGGTGTGTATACATATTAAATACGTAATTTAAGTTGTTTACGACTTTTCGTTTTTGAGCTAGACTGTTCACACATATATACACCGACTATTTTGCAAGACTTGGTTATTTATCCTTACGGGTCCAGGATTTAATTTTGGAGAGGGGCTTCAGCCCGAAGGTTTTTTTTATATATATAACAATAATTTTTTTGGAACTAAAAGAAACAATATGAAATGGCGTGTAAGTGATTCTTGAAGTCCTATTAAATGTAATTACACGAACCATAATACTTTTAGAGATAGTTTTCTTATATTTTTTATAAAACATGGTTATATTTTGAGGGGGAGGGGAGAGGATTCAGTCTGAAAACCCCTAATAGACCTGCGTGTGACTTAGGAATCTCAAAATGTTTATTTCCGTTGAAAACTCAGTTTCGAAAATTTTAATGATTCCAATACTTTCTCTTGCCCAGGGGTGCCCATCCCATATTTTTTTCCTCTCTTCTTAAAAATAGTGCAAACAAAAGTAGAATTTAAATACTCGTAGATTATATACAATTACACATTCTGCGGTCTGTTCCATGTTTCCACTTGTCTTTTAATTTGAAAATTTATAATCCCTTTGAAATGTGCCCCCCTCAAAAATTGGAAGTGCGCCATGAAATCCCCTTCGATACACCTCTGCTTTTACTATACATTACATATATATAAGTAAGTGAAAGTCAACATTTCTTTCGAATAAATTTATGTACAAATGTGAGCGAAGTTTTAAAATGACTCGTAAAACGTAAACAGTTTCCGGCATTTGTCATATGTGGTTTTCAACGGATCTATACGTTGTTTCTGAGTCCCCTGAGTGCTAAAAACACATTTTTAGCCATTGGTCTGTCTCTCTGTGCCAAGATTTTCTCGGGAACTTGTAAACCAATTTTGTAGGATTTTGAGTACTGATGCCTGTGACACAAATTGGGTGCTCCATGGAAATAGGTTTATTTATAGCTGCTGCAAAATAAATGAAAACCGTGTTTTTCTATAGACTGTAGCAGGAAAACTGCTATAACGGTTTTGATGAAACTCAATTTCAATTTTCGTTCATAGGACTAAATTCCAGAGAAAATTGAGGAAAGAAACTTATGAAGAAAAGAAAAATATTTTGGGGCCTAACTCGCAAAGTATATATTATGTAGGACGTTAGCCTTTTTTTTTTTTTAAAGGTAACGCAATTCCCTACAAAGCTATATAAAAATCGTTCATTTCAGACAACTATTGACGAAGTTACAGCTGTTCAATTTCCAATGTATGATTACAGGTTCATACCCTGGTTTCAGAAATTGATGAATGAGAGAAAAAAGATAACTTAGCGAAAGTTAATCTGTTGCCTTCATCACACAAGCTTCACTGTTTCCTCTACTTTTGACAGGAATTTACTGTTTGACAAAATGAGGCTATGGGTAACAGTTTTTGGTCAGTAATATTAGAGGAAGTATTGAAATTTTTACACTGATCTACCATAAGCCGGTTTGCATTGCTTTAGTTTATCAGAAAAATCGTACTCAAATCTTTTCTTTGATCAATTTTTAGGAAAATAAATCTAAGACATTTTTTTTTCTTGGGCATATGTAAATATATAAAAACTTCTGAAATAGGTAGAAAAGTCGTGTGAGTACACACCCCTTGATTTTTTTAATATCGTTTTTGTACAGAGCTGACGATAGTCGGCAATGGGAGGGGATGCCCTGAGAAAATATACAGAAAGCAAGACGGTGTCCTCCTGAGTAGACAGTCATGTTACAAGTCTGTACCCTGGTCATTCTGCTACCTCTGGTACGCCCGGAGACCATCGTCCACCTCTTCGAGTGGTCTCACGAAGACGTGGCGAAGGAGTGTAACCGATTTTTGGCGCCCTATGGTTACTCAGCTGTCCAGGTAAATCCACCTATTTAAACATAAAACTAGATGCACATTTTAATGTTGAGATTAAATTATTTTTTATCAATATCTTGTTTTTTCGCATTAGCGTAGATATAATACAACGAAATGTGTACTATAATAACAATTATTTAATTCATTAAAATTAAACTATTTAATGTGACAGATATAATTACTTAACGGTAATATGATAACCAATCTAAGATTTTTTATAATCTCAATGTATATGTTTTAGGGTCACAAGAATAAAAATAAATGAATGAAGTTTGAAAAAAAAATTCCCTTCTATATTCGTAGATTCCATTAATAGTGATCATAAACATTATTAGTTTTGTAATGGTGTAGAGATAAGATGTGGCGGTCAAATAAATACTAAATTTTTAAAATAGTATTTTAATCGTTAAGCCGATGTTTCGACCTACTTTGTAGTTTTTCACCTGGGCTACAAAAGATATATTTATTATTATTTATTAGTTGTACATATTTGTGGCTCACAATAAATTTGCCATCTACCTTAGTATTCAGCAAATATGATATCAAGGAGAAGAATAACAAAACAAAAAGACGAAAAAAAAAAACGTAGTAAAATAACACATACATTATAACATAAACACACGAAAAAGATAATGCAGCAAGTACATCAATTAAATAAGTCTCTTGGCCAGCGCCTCAGCAGTCTTCTGAGCGGATTATATGGATTTGTGGCAGTAGATAGAGCTTGAGTAAGTGGATTGGAATTTAGAGTTAGTCTGTCATGAAAATTATTAAAGCGGTCAGTGGCAGTTGCTGCGATGAAAGGAGTGTTAAGGTCAGTGTGTAACGTGAAGTTTGAAACATAAAAGGGTGCGTCTACAATTTTTCGAAGGACTTTTCGAACTATGGACATAGTTCGATTTCATATGTCCATAGTGGTTTAATAAGGACTTTATAAATAGTTAATTTATTAGTCACAGATAATTTAGAACGCCTGTCAAGTAGCCTAGAAAGAAGTCCTTATCGCTGATTAAGTTCTTTTCTTTTTTGTTTTATGTGGTATGTCCATGTCAGTCGTTTGTCCAAGTGGAGACCCAAATATATCGTACAGTTTTTGAAGGTGGTAGAGCAATATTATTAAAGAACACTGGAGGACAAGATATAAAATATAAAAGGTACATGGTGAAAATAAAATAAATATATTATAAGTATATATTAAATATCAGATAACTATTTCTTATTTAATATCTACTTTTAATTCGTTCATTTTATTTTCACCATGTACCTTTTATATGTTGTAACCCTGATGAAAACCTACAAGTGGGTTGAAACGTCGTAACGATTAAAATCCTATTTTAAAAATTTAGTATTTACTTGACCGCACCCCCCGACCAACTCCTCATGTTATCAGTTTTGATTGCCCTGGTATGCGGATGAGTCATATATTGTTCGTTTATTTACAGTTGACCTTTTAAAGAAATTAAAAATATATATATATTTTTTCGGTGAGTTATGTCAAAGAGAGAGCCCGAATTTGTAAGCAATGTCATATTTTATTTGTCTTGTATATATTGTACGAATGAGTTTCTTATATCTCAAATACTTAATGCCCTTGATTGAGGCAAAATGTATTTTTTCTCAATAAATAAATAAATAATATTTTATTTGTATTCAGTTTTTAAACAGCTGGTATAATATTTTTACGAGTCAAGGTACACAGATGCAATTATTGAAATGCTGAGTTGAAGATGAAATGGTATACTACAACCGTAGGTTTCCAATCAACAAATAATGATACCTTGAGTAATTGACTTCTTAGAATATAGATTTTCTTTTTTTTTTTTTCTATTCCTAGCTTTTTATCTCTCCTCCTATTTTCTTTTATTGTTATATATTATACGATTGTTATGTCTCATACTGTTTTAAAACTTACAGTTTAGATTTCTTACTTTCTTTGCAATGCTAACATTATTTAATATTTCCTTTTCCATTAAAATTGAATTACTGGATCTATCTTTACGATTCCAAAGATTTAACAATGTTTAAAACTCATTGAAATATTCGTTTTTTCATCTATTATTCAAAACAAGTTTCTATTGAAAACAAGTCGATAATCTGTATTGGATTTAATTTACTCCAGTCACGTACTTGTTTGTAGAAAGAGCATTTCAAACGATAGGAGATTCAATGGTAGAATCTTCTAATGAGAAATCCATTTGTTAATTTTAATTTAAAGCTCCTCACATTACATTCTTAATTAATCCCCACATATATTATTACAGTAAGGCTTGAAATCGGTTCTGTACCAAATATAAGCTCCTGTCATGCTCAAATACCATGAATATCATCAAATACCATGGGGTACCGTTGGATTCAGAATTTCACAGAGGGTTATCGAGTCGTATTCTCCACTTTTGTTTTTCTTTCTAAAATAAATGAAGTCGATACAAACATTTTGCTAGGCTTCAATACTGGAACGGTGGTAGGACTGTAGATCGATGCGGGACAAATTGGATCTAGAAGATATTGATGCGTACAGCAAGACCCGGATAGTTCCTTCTAAACTATCGAGTCCTGCGTTTTTAAGCCCAAAAACGTACTATTTTCGAGATATCGCAAGGCATAGGGGTCGCATCCACACAACCTTACATTAATTGTAGTACTGTCATTGAATACATGTCTCATTTTGTCGACTTGGGGTCTCTATGATAGAGAGAGGGGAGTTCGTATTATTTATCGAGAGTGTTTTTTATCGGCAAGGCTTATCGTCGTTAATTCTTCACCAAATCTCAAGATTGGGCCACCAATTTCGAAGGCTTCCTTCTCCTTCAGGCGGGAAAAATAGTCCAATTACCCCGAAAATTCAGGCCAACAAGTTATGAGAGAATATTTGCGAATAACTAAAAAATTACACACTCTCTTGGTTATGCCCATGATTATACAAAATATTGCTAAATTCTCTATAAAAGGAGGGGGGGGGAAATCATCGAAATCGGACAATTTTTAGCAAAGATACAGGTTATTGAAACTTGTAAACATGTTGGTTCCAAAAATTAATGAAGATTTAAATTAATTTTTGTTTCCTTTGTCGATTATATTTATCGATAAAGTAACAATTGATTTCTTTATCTTTTGATACGTTGCATTATTTTATTTTCTTATTAATTTGGCAATTTGGTAACAAAATGCTGTGCGATTTTTTTGCACGGGCCTGCTAGTATTAATTTAATTTGTTTATGTCATATTTAAATAATTTTAAAATACAACACCATTCAGGGTTGCCCAGGGCGCTAGAATCTACCTACCCCTCTCCTCCCAAGATATTTGATTGCTCATCTTTTCTTAAAAACAGAGGAAGCTAATGTAGAATAAGAAAAATCGTAGATCATATACATTTACACTTGTTGTGGTATGTTCTACACGATGTGGTATGTTCCCACTTGTCCCGTAGTTCGAAAATTCATAACCCCGTCAAAATTTACTCCTTCAAAAATTAAAAAAAACCCGTCAAAATTTACTCCTTCAAAAATTAAAAAAACCCGTCAAAATATGCCCCCCTTAAAAATTTTGTCAGTGCAACTTGCGCCATGAAACCTCCTGGGCACCTCTGACAGCATTCATGTTTTTTTCAAATTCTATGTGTTGTATTTAAGTCATGTTTACTGAATTAACAAAAAAGTAATTAAATTAAATAATTTTTAAATCTAGCTTGATAGAATTGCTACCATATGTTAAATGACCTTGTTATTGCACTTCGTATCTCCATGGCTTCCATTCCAGCTGTCTCGTTAACGTCAATACTATCTATTAAATAAATAAGGCTTATCGCGTTGAACAAATAAATAAAACTTCTGATTTATGAAGTTTTGTATCAATAATGTAATGTGCCCTATAAGAAATATATGTATTATTTTTGGACCAAAATCTAATTATAAATAAATAAAAACACTATACTACTACAAGTATGAGTGTTTTCGGATTTAGTAATTTCTAAATACATAGTCTTACTGTACTTTAATACAAGTTAATGATCAGGCTCAAGCTAAAACCCAATGAAGGGTCGTGTATCATCTTTTAGAGCCTGGGTACGTCCAGGAGGATTTCCTCTACTCCAGATATATCAGTATAAATTATTATCTAGCATATCCGGACTCAAACCCAATGAGATACCCCGCTTTACACAAAATAAAATAAAATAAATTTTTTGGACCCGGCAATTTGGTGTCCAGTGTCATACTATTGTATCACATGTATCGTTCATTGATGTTTTACGATCACATTAAATACACTTTAAAAATAAATAAACCTAGGCCACTACAACGCATGGAGGTTTTTGGATTCAATGTTTGATATGAAAGTACTGTTTCTTGTTCAACGATTGTTGAAGAAGGTGAATTGACAGAGATCACGCTCAAAAACCTCAGTTTTTCTCCGTAATTAATAATTAATTAAGAAACTCGCTTCATAAAGGCTTGGTGAGTCCCAGGAGGGTCTTTCGATTTCAGGTCCACGGCTGTTGTAACAGCGTTTCGAAATATAGGAGTACAGTGCCTTATCCACTGAGCTACTCCGCCCTTTCGATAGCCTCTTTCATTTTGTAGTAGAGTCCCTTTTAGATCAGCGAATTATAGGTTTTATTAACAAAGACTTATAAGGTTAGAAATATTACATATCCTATTTTACAAAAAATAAATGTTAGGTAATATACGAATAAATAAATAATATCTTACAACAGTACATATTTAGTCATGTGAACTCATTGCTGCATTGAGAAATACTCACATTTAATTTACATAGATTATAAATTTTATTTATCTTTCATCCAACATACATAAACACTTTTCTATGGCATCCTTCTAACAGAAATACAATTTCTTGTTTATTCGAAAAGAACTCATATTCCATTCGTGCAGTTACTTCGTGTTTGCCCTTAAGCTTGTGTCATTAACTTATACGAACGACTTCGCAATAACAACAGTTCATTATGATCCCGACTATTCATATTACATATATATTTAATGTTTCATTAATCCAATCTCTTTGGATAGGTGAAATAGTCCAAAAGGATCAACGTCAATAAAATTACCTTGAAGATGGGAAAGAAAATTTCATTTCATACTTTCCCAAAGGACGCTCGAAGAAAAGATTGGATTTTAAAATGTAAATGTAAAATATTGTTAAAAAATTTACTAAACTTTTTTTTAGGAAACAAAATGTAGAAATTAATGAAAAACTGGTAAACGCTTTCTTTCAGGAACGGTTCAGTTAATTAGAATCAAATTTTTAAATACCCAAAGAGTTTTACAACAATTAAGAAAACATAAAATCCAAGGCAAAAAAACTTGAGACAGATCACTACATAGGATTACTTATGACATAAAAATGTAATATTTACAAAAGTTAACGGAAAGAAAACGCTTCTCTAATTTTAGATCAAATACTTTTTATTTTTTTTTTAATATTTCTATTATTTTATATTATGTTCTGTATTTATTTAAAATTTAAAAAAAATATTATTGTGGTACTTTGCAAAAAATCATACAACAACTTGTTAAATTACATTTTATTTGATTCAGAATAAACCAAATATCAAATCAACCTTTCTCTCACCTTTCAAATTAATCAAACTTGATAAGGTATTTGGCAATACAGTATTGATTTAATGTATAAAAGTAAATAATAATGTTAAAATGTCCAGAAACAAAGGCCGGAGGGGTAAAATCAGTCTATTGGCTACGTCAGAGCTCGATTCCTCCCCTCCATTTTCCCTCTGAGTGAGCGAACGTGGAAGTTTTGTTGACCTTGCAAAAGGACGCTTAATATTCCTAGGAAGATTGAAAACCTACTTCGCACACAATTTCCTTCCAACAACTTCTGTTCCACCACCTAATCCACATTCAAACTTCCACTAACATGTAAAATTACGTGCATCTGTATACTGTTTAATTTCAACCTACTGCACAACTGCAATAACAATCAACAGTTAATTAGTTTGTATTTTTAATTATTCTAAGCCAGACTAAGTCCCATAAATTTAACTGTTATTATTCTTATAAGAAGGAGTTAATCGGGGGAGGGAGTGTGCGGTCAAATAAATACTAAATTAAAATATTGTAATTATTTAATTTTTGCCGACGTTTCGACCCGCTTTGCAGGTCGTCTTCAGGGCTACAAAAGATACAAAACATGTTGAAAATAAAAAAATGAATATAAGTAGATATAAAATAAGAAGAAGTTACAGAAATAAAACAGATACAGAAATAAAAAGATGATATCAGAGATATAGTGGGTGACAATGTAGTTAAAATATCAAGTATTATATATGTAGAAGATATACTATAATATAAGATACTATAGAAGATACATTGTCATCCACTATATCTCTGATATCACCTTTTAGGCTATACGGGATTTTCCCGGGCCGGGGGGTGAGGGCGGGGAATTTAAAATCCCCTCCGGCACCGGGACGCGAACTCGTACTTTTTATATCATCTCAAATCTCTGTTATCCGGTTGCCAGGCAACTAGCGGTGCTGTGCACACGCTTTAGCCTATTCAGCCACCCCGCCCCTCCCCCTGAAGGCGACCTGCAAAGTGGGTCGAAACGTCGGCAAAAATTAAATAATCACTATATTTTAATTTAGTATTTATTTGATCGCACCCCCCTCTCCTTCCCCCCGATTAACTCCTCATATTATATCAACGGTCAACCATCTCAACATCGTTATTGTACTTAGATGGGAGTGGGGTAGCTCAGTGGTAGGGTACTGAGCATGCAATGCTGAAGGTCCCAGGTTCGAATCCTGGCTTATGGCAGAAAAATAATTTATTGTGTTTCATTGGCTGTGGGGCGACCCTGGGTAGAGAGACGCTCTCGTGGCATACCCAGCTTCTATAAAGTGGGTGCCCTTATTTTCATTTCATTTCATATAATGTACCCTCATTCTTAATTTTCCATTATTCCCAGTTCTATTCATCACTTTAAATCCTTGTATAATATTTTAATATCATACTTATCACTTTTCCATTATGTTGAACTCGATTTATGTCGGTCAGGTTTCACCCGTGAACGAACATGCTATTCTTAATGGACGCCCTTGGTACGAGAGATACCAACCTATATCATACGTCTTAAAAAGCCGTTCGGGAAACAAAGCTGCCTTTAAGAACATGGTAGAAAGTTGCAATAAAGTTGGTGTCAAGTAAGTTGAATCCACTCCACTTTTAATAATTGTACGACTAAACTATGAAGTATAGCCTTTTTTGTTTAGGGTGTACGTCGATGTTATCTTCAATCACATGACTGCCAACTTGCCTCCGGGTACTAAAGGTACAGGTAATTCCGTTCCGGATACCGCCAATGAGAAATACCCAGCGGTTCCCTACGGTCCCAAAGACTTCCATGCGCCATGTTCCATCGAAGACTGGAAGGACAGATGGCAGGTATATTCAGGAATTTATAAATGATATACAAAGACTCTGAATGGTATATAACCTGTTTTTTGTTTAGATTCGAAATTGCGAACTACTTGGCCTCCACGATCTGAATCAAACTTCTGAATATGTTAGGGGCAAAATAGTGGGATTTTTGAACGAATTAGTTGACATTGGGGTATCTGGATTCAGGTAAGGAATTATATTGATAAATTTTTGCTTTTAGTGGAATGGGAATTGTTAAGGCCGCATACTTTATTTTTAATTTTTTAGTGTTATTTTTTTCTCACCACTCACCCCTTTTAAGTGTTAATAATAAAAGGTTTATTTATTTTATTTTTTATTTTTTGGTAAAAACTGAGGAATAATTGTCTCAAAATGGTACATTGTTTTATATTTAGGTTTATTTTGCGATGTATTATCGCTTATTTATATGCACCAGCCCGGCAGTATTACCCGGTCTTGGGGATTAAGACATCAAAATAGTGCCATAATACTGTCGGGTCGGAAGTCTGGAGCTGTCTTTCGTTTGTAGTGGACGTCTACCCCCACCATTTTCACCAAGCACCACGCCGTCTCGTTTCATCATCACTTCACCAGCGCTATTTTGAAAAGCCCAGCTATGTCATCTCTAGTCGTCGATCGAGATCGATAGGCCTATCGATTCGATACTCCCCACCATCGACTTGACATCGTACAAGGTAACCTCTTTGGAAGAAGATCCTCCAACTTGGAACGTTTTTTATTCTCGCCATCACCACGGGACATTTAAATATTAATTTGGGTTTTCTCTCTAAATTATTATTTAAACTTTAATGAACTCTCAAGTTAATTGTTTTCCTTTTAATTAACTTCATTCTCGAAATTTGATTTTGTTCTCTTGAAGTTATTTTTTTTCTCTCTTAATTTAATCTTTATTATAGAAGTTTATTTTATTTATGTTTTGTTTTTGATGGACAATTTTTTTTTATTTTTCACTAAATATTGTATTTATGTTTTATTTTATTTCAGTACATTTGAATTTTTTTTTTCTTCTCAGTTGTTTGTTTTGAATTTTATAAAAATCTTTTATCTCAATAAATATTGTAAGCATTTAGAAGGGGATTTTTCATTTTCCATTTTTTTTATTTCTTGAATATTTCTATTTAAAATTATTTTCTTGTGCATGCATTTTTACTCTTTTTGTTTTTTCCTTCTTTCCCAACATTTAATTTTTCTCGAATTTTCTCATTTTTGAGGAACCTCACCGGGGAAGGGTTTGTGTTTTAATTTTGAAAAACCCCCGGCCTCAACAGGAATATATTTCTATTCCTCGTGGTCCTTTACAGAGTCGATGCAGCTAAACACATGGAACCTTCAGACTTACAAGTCATCTACCAGCGAGTTCACAACCTCAACCCTAGGTGGTTCCCCAAAGGCAGCAGGCCATACTTCTACCAAGAGATTGCTGGTTATCCAGGTATTTAAGTCTGCCTGTGTTGTTAAATTTCCAAAATTGGAATATGACATGTGTGTAAACTGTTACAGATGATGACGTTATCAAGCCTCAAGAATACACTTCACTAGGCGGGGTTATGGACTTCAAATACGGCTTCGAATTGGCTAGAGCATTTAATAAAGAAAACAAGCTGAAATGGCTTCGAACATTCGGTAAATTTTAAAGTTTTACTTTCATATATTACCAATCTCTACACAATTTTTTTTCGTCATATCCTACAGTTAAAAAAAAAGTTCTTAATTTATTTATATATAAAAAAAAAAGATTTTAAGATAGATCTTATTTTGAAATATTTTTTTCAGGCAAGCGTTGGGGTTTGGTGGCATGGAAGGATTCAGTGGTATTTGTCGATAACCACGATACGCAAAGAGATGGCATAAACGATCGACCTGCGTTAACATATAAACAGGGCAAGCAGTATAAGGTAAAGCAAGTTTATAAAATCAGCTGAGCTCATCGATGGAATCGCATATATATTCTCGAAAAGTAGAATTATGTTGCAAGCAGATATTTTTGCTATTGATGAATGAAAATGATTTTATTATTCTGGGACTAGTGTCTCTTCAGAACAAATTACAAATATAGAATATATACATTAATATCCTGGTGTGTCCATAAAATACAATTAAATATTTACAGGATGATTAGTAATAAAAGTACAGATAATAGAAATATATAAAAACGTACATAAATATAAAGTAAACAAAAAAAGTAAAATAAATAAACAAAATATCAATAAACCACAAAATAGTCAAAGTGTCTGGGGTACTTTTATATTCTTTGGACTTAGATATTTTTTTTTTAAGTGCATTTATTTGAAGCATGTGTTTGAAGAGGAGAGATTTGAAAGACGACATTGACTTTGCGTGTCGAATATCAGAGGGGATAGAATTCCAGAGGGAGACAGCTTGAATTAAAAAGGATTTGTCAAACGCAGTAGTTCGGTGAGGAGGAGAATAGTGGTCGGATGTACGAGATCTGGTGGGACGGAATTGAAAGGAGCATTTGAATTGTAGGATCTGTAGGATATAGAAGGTCGCCGAGTACTACAAGCATGGTGTAGAAAAGTAGTAAGGAAATACTGACAGCGGTAGGACGGATAAAGCCACTTCAACTCGGTATAAATCTGGGTAGTAATATGATTTGAGTTAAATAATAAAAATAAAGATATTTTAATTTTAATTTGACCGCGACCTACGCAGATACTATGATTTTAACTATATACACCGACTAAAGACAGTGCTCACTGAATTAGTGAAATCATTTATTACATTTACAAAAATGGTACTCACTCTGGAAAATGAGATTAATTCACGACAAATCACAGCACATAACGTTCACATTTTGACGAGACACTTGTCCACCATATTTTATCGCTTATCGAATTCCTCAAACAGTCGACAGAAGGATGAACTGGAGCCCACACCTCAAAATGAAAGAAAAAAACCTTCAACAAAAGACTGTAATTACTGTGCTCTCTTTTTTTCAAAATTATCAAAATTGAGAATTAGATATCTACAGAATTGAGAATACATGCACATATCTACATAAAACCATATAGCCTTGGATTTTTGGTTCAGAAAAAAAAAAAAAAAAAAAACACATTCAAAAACTACAATTTTTAATTAGAAACAGCAATAATAGCAGACGTGCCCTCATTTTTATATTACAATATTATATATATGTAACATACCGACTTACAACAACGAATAATCGATCAACACATACGTCACTTTATTCTCGTTTTCACAATAAACTGCAAGGGCATAACAACAGACTAGTTACCAAAATGGCTGCTGCTGACATGCCCGTTAGAAGGCGATAAAAAAGAAGCTGAATTAGAGATCTCCTTTCGTGAATCAAATGACTTAATCAAGACCAGAAAGAGGTATTACTGGATACTATCATTTACCAAGCGTGAAATGTCACTGTCATAATTTTTTAGCACATTTTCTTACTGTCACTTCTGTGCGAAAAGAGAGATGAAGATGAAGAAAATATAGTTATATTTAAACATATCGCTTAATTCTAAAGCAAATACTGTTAGTTAAGGGGTTAAAGTATGTATATTAAAAAAATATTTATCTATTTTACATTTTACAACTATGATGATACAATAAATATGAATAAGCCTGTTGCAGATGGCAGTGGGTTTCATGTTGGCATGGTCGCACACACGAGCTAGGGTGATGTCCAGTTACTACTTCGATAAGAAGGAGCAAGGACCTCCATCTTATCCTGTAATTGTGAACGAGGATCTTACTTGTTCGGGCGGATGGGTCTGTGAGCACCGATGGCATCAGATCTACAACATGGTGGCTTTTGCAAAAGTAGTGGAAGGTAAAAACATTTCTTTCTTCTAACGAACTCTGACAATCAAAGAAAAAACATGGCCTTTCCCATGGTATTTTGTTCCCAGCCGATTTTTTTCCATCTCCTAAATGCGATGATTGTTTGCTACAACTTATTTTATGGTTGCAGCCTAGGTCTTCGTCTCTTCTGTTTCTTTCTACCTGAATATTTTTTGGTAATTCTGTTCGTCTTAATACTCTTCCTTAATAGTTTCCCTTTTATTTGATTTGATCCCTTCGTGTTCTGACAACTAAATCAGCAAACATGAGTTTTCCTCTACAATTTATTTTAAAAATCAAGCAAAACCTCATTGCATATCAGAACAGAGCCGAATCTAAATTTTGTAATGTATTATATTTGTAATTTATGTATACCAGAATGCGGAGCATTCCAAAATGGCTACCATTGAAAGTAGTAACCTAAATAAGTATCAATTTCCTAATTTAAAGATTATTTAAATCAAACCCACAAGAAAATGTACATTTCTCTGATGCAAAAACCGTTGTCGAAAAGTGTGTCCCATCAAAAGAGGATATTCATAACACAATTGTTTTTGCCCATAAGACATATTTCAGTGCACTTTTGCAAAAGGAAACTGCTATTCCTTCGAAGATAATTTTTTTTATTTCTTGCTTAACAAATCTCTTTACGTTCTATAATTCTAGAGGAACAGTCTTCCAAAATACATGTTTTTTTAATTTTATGCGTCTCGGGTTGCCTTTCACATGTCCTCCTTGGTCTTCCACTTGGTCGCCTTTACCTTACACGACTTCACTAGTCTGTCCTCTATCATTCTACCAACATGGCCAACCATGTCAGCTGATGTTCCTCGATAATATCCTCACCTGGCTTAAGTTCCAGGTTTGGCCTGATTTAATTTTATAAAGCATTATTTAATGATTTTTCACGGCAAACCGAAGGTTTATTCAAAAAGATATTACGCAGTTTGCGATACACTAGTTTATTCTCTCATGATTGATGAACACATTGTTAAGTATTTATGAACATCAAATATTTCAATTTGGTTTCGAGTTCGATCGAAAATATTTACACACTTCTATTTTTAGATAATTTTGGTACTGAATTTAGAATTGATGTCCACAGGAACCGCTGTGAGCCACTGGTGGGACAATGGTAACTATCAGATAGCCTTCTCGAGAGGAAGCGAAGGTTTTATTGCAATAAACGCTGAAGATAAAGACCTGGACTCCGAAATACAGGTAAGTTATCCAGTTGTAAAGAATGGTTAATAACATCTGTTTTTGTCTTATTGTTAATGTTTTTAATTGTATTAATTCCTCATCGAAAGTGTTTTAAACATCTATATAAAAAGTCAACAAATCCACGTTGTAATGAACTATGTTTTTACAGACCTCTTTGGAGCCAGGTGTGTACTGTGACGTCATTAGTGGACTCAAGCAGGGTTCGAAATGCACGGGAAGTCAGGTGACAGTAAAAAACAATGGTAAAGCTCATATTAAGATAGCAGCGAATGCTTTGGATGGTTTCATAGCTATTCATTCCAAGGTAACTTACTTTCATCATTTAATTAAGCATTATATAGTTATTGTTTCCTCACTACCGAAGGTAGGAAATCATTATGTCCGTGCGGGAGATTAAAAAAATTATGTACTCATTAAATTATGTTCGCCGTCTGTCTGTCAAATCGATTTGACGGGCATATCACCTTGTACCGTTCATCCGATTTTCATGAAATTTTTAGGAATTGTGCGAGTTAGTGTCTAGATGGCCTCATATCAATTTTATCAAATTCCACCCAGCACTTCCGCTTACGCACGCGCAAACGTATTTGTTTAGATATACCAATATTTCAGAAACAGCTCGTTCGATTTGGCTCAAAGTAGGATAAAAGGTAGATATTGGTGAAAAATTGATGTAGTGTCAATTTTATTGAATTCTATCCACTACATTCTCTTGTATATTCACAAACGTGTTTTTCTTGATACGTCTATATCTCTAAAGCTGCACGTTCAATTTGGAGGGAAGTTAAGGATTGGTAAAGAGATAATTAAGTATGTATGAATTATATCAAATTCCGTCCACTACACCAAAAAAAAAATATATTTCCGCTTTCAGATCAGGATATTTATTTATTATTTGGCATGCCTATACTTTGAAAACTGCGCGTTCGATTTGAACTCAACTTGGAGGAAATTTGTAGAAATTATCTGGTATCAATTTCATTGAATTTCATTTCAAAATTAAAATTAATATAAATAATTGTTAACAATATAATGACTGTAAAATGTGGAAGGCATTGATCATCTGGAATGGGAGTTAACACAATATTTTTATGGGGTTATAAAATGTTTGATGTTTGGTTTTATTCAATAAGTTAATTTATAATGTATTGTTTTGTCGATTCCAAAGGTTACTTAGATTCCAACACTTGCTGCAGCTACTTAGATTTCGTGTAGCTTTCAGTAAATTTAAATTAATTTTTACTTTGAGTTTGTATAAAAAAAAATCTTATTTGGAATAGTGTATATGGAGTTCAGTTTGTGAAATGTCTAACCGCATCTTAAACTTCATTAATAGCATAATATAGATGTAAAAAAATCATTAAAACTGTTATTGTAACATTAAATTAAACAGCTGTTGTATTATATTTGTATTTGTTATTATTGTTTCAGTCGAAAATACGATGAGCCCCAATTTTCTGGATGCGCAGAACAATCAAGGATTTATTTTTTTTAACAGAAGTACATATTATGAAATGAATTATTAATGATTTGTTTTAAATTTACTAACATTACCAATTATACGATACAGTTTATTTTCTATTCTATTTTATTCTACACTAATTTTTTTTATTTAAATTTACAACGATATTAAATGATAAATACAACCAGTAAATATGAAACAAGTAACATGACACGTACAACATGAAGAGAAACTATCCATTGGTAGCACCCAATTATATTTCTATATTAGAAGGGCCCAGGCCATTTTCTTTTCAGACTCCTCTGGGGTTTATCAGGAATAGAAGAGGAAGTAAGCTTAGAAACAAGAGGGTTCGGATGGTTCAGAAGTTTATTATGGAAGAATAGATGTCTGGATTGGGTCAAATCTGATAAATAAGGAACATGAAGGTCTTTGTGGATGATTTTATTTGTAACAAAGTAGGGAGCATTGAGCATTTTACGACGGATTTTGGATTGTAAGGATTGGATACGAGAGGAATTTGATGTTTTAGTGGAGCCGCATAGCTCAACTGCGTAATTCCAAATAGACCTTATTAGAATTAAGTTTATTTTCTATTCTATTCTATGTACACTACAATTACATCGTAAGTACAATACGCGATATGAAGCTGAAGTAGTAATCAGAACGATTAACTCACTGCAAAGAGCTCACATCAAATGGACATCACATTGTCAATTTGTTTCAAGTTATGTGAATTTTTATTTTTTTTAAGAATTATTCATATTAGTTTCATAAAATTACAATTGATGGATCATTAACTTAACAGTGTTATTAATTACAACAATTAAAAGTGATTAGCCCCTTCTTGGACTCTTAGGTGTTCCCAATCGCATTACGGCTTTACAAAACAACTACACTATGCTAGAACGAAAGACTATTCACAATCACCTGTTAAATAAATAACTGTTGCCATGGGTTGCCATGTTACACTGTGAAACACGTGTTTTTCTATTGAAAATTGGAATTCGAAATTTTTTACTAAATATATGTAGGTAAATAAAGGTAAAATGTATTGAAATGAATATTAAATAAAACTTTTGCATAAAATATATATGATTTAGTAGATAAATATATAATAAATAAAAATTACATTTAAAAATTTATAATAAAAATTAATTATAGAAGTACATAGCTTAGCACAAAAGTATTAGTGATTACTTTTCCAAAGGAATAGTATTACATTATTTATAAGCTTTCCAAAACTGAGAGGTTGTAACCTTACTTCCTAAATAAGTTTAAGTTTTAATAAGATATTCATTAGGGACTGGTTAAAGAATAACTTTACGCTAAATCTTATTTTACAGGGAAAGGAACATATTAACATTCTAAAATTAAAACTAAAATCTACGATAAATTATTGTTGATGTAATATGATCCTTCGGATGATGAAGAACTACTGTCATTCAATTCACTGCTTTCTTCACAATCTTTAAAATCTTCATCAGAATCCGTGAAATGTTCGATAGAGAAGATGTTTGGAAGTTCTTGTGAAGCTTCGAATTGGACAATACCCTTCGATTCTTCAGTTCTTTTCACACCTGAAGAATGCGCACTTTCATTCGAAAAGGCACCTAAAAATTGGGCCTCATCCGTTCTGTTATTTATTATAATATTCTGCGGAGTATGCTGCTCTAAATATTCAGTGTCATAGTTCGCTTCTTCTTCATTGTGTTCAATCTGATTTTCAGGTGGGAAAGGCATGCCATTTAAATCTATAACATTTTGTGATTCGTTCCTTCCTGGATAAAGAACGTCGTCATTTTGTTCTTCATATGTTTCAATTTGGTTATAATTCGGATCTTTCGATTCCTCCATTCCAGAATATAAGACAGCATCGTCTTCTTCGTTACCTGATTCCACATTTTCTTCACTTGGAACATACCTAGCGTTCTTTGGTGTTGAATGTTTTAGTTCATCAAGGTTTGAATACATCACATTAATATTGTAATGATCTTCATCCTCTGCTTCACGAAGTTCTTGCTGTCTAGGATTAGAGAATATGGCATTACAGTTTTCTGTTCGTTCATTCAATGAATATGTCATATTCTCATTCATGTCCATATTATCTGCTGAAGGAAATTTACTGCGCGCTGGAGATTCTTCGACTCCTGAGCCCGGGAGGTTTTTATTTCTTTCCAGTGCCTGATCCTCCACCTCTCCCTGTAAGTACTCATTGACGGCTTCATCAACTACATTCTGTGGTTCAGGTGAAACTGCAGTTTGTTGTTTAGGAGTTGAAAGGGTTTCGTCTGTTCCTTCCAAACTAATTTCATCGTCACTTCTCATATCAGGTAGAATCTCTTCTCGAATCATCTTCTGCAAACTTCGAAACAACTTAGGCGTAAACTTGTCTGTCATACACAGAGCTTTGAGGTTAGACATGAAGTTTTCAACCTTTTCAATTTTCGCTAATTCCTTAACCGTGTCTGGATCGTCCTGAAACAAGATGATAATAATTTAATTCAATAAAAAAGCTATACACTATCAGCTTATATCGAGATGTTACGTCAGCTGGACAAAAAAAAAAAAAAACATCCGCACCGGACAGAAAACCACGTATGATTTCTTACAAAGTAAGCGCGGACAGGCATGACTCAAAACGCGAACACTCCCTAAACGTAAGTATTAAGACATACTTCCTTGCAGGAAGTTTCCTCCACCCACTAGCGTATCCAGGATTTAATTTTGGGAGGCTTCAGCCCGACAGATTTTTTAAAATATATATAAGGATAATTAATTTGAAAAAAAAAAGAAAGATATGAACTACCTATATGAAATAGTGTTTAAGTGATTCTTGAAGTCCTATTAAATGCAATTAAACGAGCAGTAATACTTTAAGACATAATTTTTTAATATTTTTTACCATAAAACATGGTTACATTTTACCATTTTGGGGGAGAGGGGGGCTTCAGCCCGAAAGCCCCCCGTAAATCCGCCTGTGCACCACGCCATGTTAACTGAGCGAAAGAAAAATACAAGCTAATTGGGATTATTATCCTGACACGCAAAGAAAATAACCTGATAGAGGTAAGGATTATCTAAATAATACCAAAGGATGTAAAAAAAGTTCAACTTTTGTAACAGTATTTATGATAGAACTAGGTATATATCAAACAGCATAATTCTATTAATTAAGTGATTCTTGAAGCCCAATTAAATGTAATTACACGAACAATAATACTTTAGGAGATAGTTTTAATATTGTTTTCTATAAAACATGGTTATATTTTACCGTTTTGGGAGGGGCTTCAGCCCGAAAGCTTCCCCCTCGTAAATTCGGCTGTGCCTCCACCAAACACTGGTAAATAGATTATCAAAAAAATATATCGTTTCATACCTAAAGTTTTTTTATTTTATTGCTAATGCACTATTGTTTTTCTGTGTTATATCATGAACAAAGAAAAAAAAAACTCAAGCACTGACGAGACCAAAACAATAATATATCTTTTTCTAGATAGGTGTTGAAAGAAATGGCGGAGTCCGTTATTTATTCACTGATAATCCTGTACCACCAACTCTATGAAATTAGGTCATTGCTTTATGGATCCGGGAGACTGAATTGAGAAAAATGATGATGAAAAAACAAAAGAAACAACAAATGATATTTTTATATAGAGAGAATCGTTAGATAATGCTAATCAGATGGATTAGCATGCTGTGTCAGTTAGCAACTCCGATACAAGTTGAGCAGCATTACAATAAATTGTAATTCTCTCTATATTATTATAATCTTTTTATGAGTATGATTTACGAAATGAGTATTTTTTTTTTTTTTTTATTCATCTCGTCATATTGACTAACAAGACACTGAAGAAAGCCGAAACATGGAGTGATATTGTGATGTAGTTATGTTATATTTCATAGCATTGAAGTATACAATAGTGGATTGGATTCTCCTCTGGATGATTTAATATTTATTTTTCGGTTCCTTCGAGAAATATATCTTGACACTACCACTCTGTTGAATGATGACAACTTCAATGTATCCATCATCGATTAACAAAATGGAACACAACGGTCACATGTCACACCAGTTCTCCCTATCAGTAGAATTAGCAGTTCCAGTATATAACAGTATAATTGATGGAATTCGTCTAACTCCTAAGTTTTGTTTTTCGTCTTGGTTTCATATTATTTTTCGTCAGAGGATTGCTCGACATATGGAATTGAAAAATAGAAAAGAAAACACAAAATTAAGCATGAATTAGAAAAATCACATGTTACAAACTCTTGATAGCGTGTTTTCATTAAGGTTCGCTATGACTTGTCCGCAGCTGACTTCAAACGTTTAGAATACTTCCTGTTTGAGGGAAACTTTAAAATTTTAACAAAATTGTACCCACCACTACACAGACTGGTAAACTGTTTTCTCTCCTCTGAGCTATATCCTTCGCCACGGCTAAAGCGTACTGCTTCACTTCGTCTGGTAATGCGGAAGCCATCATCAGCCGAAGTGCGTAATCAGTCATCTTGGTCTTTCCAGGAAGAAGCCTGAATGTGAAAGTCAGATCCCAGTAAGATTCTCCAGCGTTAGGCGTTTTCTCAATGGCCTCCATATGAAAGCTGTAGAAAAAACAAAGTCTAAGTAATAATGGTAATGTTACACACCATAATTAATATTTTATTAATACAGGATTTTGTTCTGCCATAAATACTGTTACAAAAGTTGAACTTTACATCCTTGGGTATATTTAGATAATCCTTACCCCTATCAGATTATTTTCTGTGCATCTCAGGATAACAATCCCAATTAGTTTGTATTTTTCTTTCGCTCAGTTAACATGGAGTGGGGTGATAAAGAAAACCGAATAGCTGTGATCGCCTTACACAATGTTGGAAAATATATGTCAGAGATTTGAAACCTTTGAGTATCAGCCGTATGTTCGTGTACCGCACTATAAATATATATAATGAAACCCGATCTGTATGTGACAGACCTCGACCGGGCCTTCCCTGCACTGTGAGAACGGCAAATGCAGTGAGAGCAGTGGGTGCTCGAATCAGAAGAAATCCCATTAGAAAAGAACAAATTATGTCTCGGGAAATGGGAATCTCTGTCAAATGTGATAAGGGATTCAGGATTTAATTTAGGGGGGGGGAGCTTTAGCCCTAAAAGAAACTAACTACCTATATGAAATGGCCTTTAAGTGATTCTTTAAGTCCTATTAACTGTAATTAGATTAACAATAATACTTTTAGAGATACTTTTTTCATAAAACATGGTTGTATTTTATCATTTTGGAAGCAGGGAGGGGGGAGGGGGACTTCAGCCCGAAAGTCCCTCCCTTCCTCGTAGATCCGCCCGTGGATCAATGTCTCGCATAAGAAAACGTGACCTTAGGATGTGTTGCATTTCGAAGAATGACAGGACAAAGGCTAACCATTTCCCTAAAAGAAATATTAGGGTGGATAGATTCGAAGAGCTCCTTGGCCGTTACACCAATGGTCTTCATCGAAAGAATTTGTTTAGCGATGAGAAAATTTTTACAATTGAAGAAAAATTTAATCGCCAAAATGATCGTGCGTACGCACACAGCTCTAAAGAAGCTTAGGAAGTCATTGGAAGAGCGGAAAGAGGTCATCACTCTGCCTCAGAGATGGTTTGGTGGTGAGTTTGTTTTGATGGCACCACAAAGCTCCATTTTTGTGAAAAAGGAGTTAAAACAGCCGCTAAAAATTATAAGGACGATATTTTGCAACCTGTTGTCAAGCCTCTAAATTAAATTTGGTGGAAGTCATTGGGTTTTCCAGCAGGATTCCTCTGCAGCTCACAAGGCCAGGTCAACTCATCAGTGGCTGCAAAAGAACATTCCTGAGTTCAACTCTGCCTCGGATTGGCCCTCAGGAAGCTCTGATCGCAACCCACTAGATTATCGACTTTGGTCCGAACTGGAGTGGATAGCATGCCACAGAGCACACCCAAACTTGGTCTGAAAGTCTGAAACAATCTCTCCGAGAATCAAGGCCAAAGGCATTTTGAGTAATTTCTTTTTTGTTTTCCTCTATAGATATACATTTTATTTTCTAATAAACTTTTTGAAAAAAATTATTTTTCTGTTGAAATCTGTATTTATTTCCTTGTAATAATATTTATGACAGGACTAGGTATACTTCGATTGATTGATACATATACATACTTTTTAACATTTTTATACACCTTTGACAGGTTACAAAGATAATGATAATGTGTTGTCAGGAAAGTAAAACAAGATGTTTTCAAAAACTCTTCGGAAAAGGCCCACGCTAAGCAGATTCCTTTTTGACATGAACAGCCTGAAATAAATAACCCAATAAATATGCATACTTTTTATAATATTGAATTGATTTTGCAGTTGAACTTAAAAATATGTTTTAAAATAAGAAATCTATTCAATACATACTTGTGCATAACTCATCTAGAATTATTAGACTTCTTCCAGTCAGTGTCTTTAAGGTATAACATAATTCTTTTATCTAAAAAGAACAATAAAGAGATTTAGCTAGTAAAATAGTAAACTTATATTCGAAATTCCTAGGAATATCAACTAAAATATGAAATGTTTTGTAAGAATTGATCAAATCCAACTAAGCAATTCCATTAACCAAAGAGATACCTCTGATCCATGAGAAGAAAGCCTGCTCTGCATGTTATCCACAGTTCCTTTCCTGACATAAATATGATCCGTGATTCGCAGTTCTGCTTTGTCGGCGGGAACATAACACCCGACCTGTAAAAAGTATCGTACGATATAGATATTGTATATTGAAAACGTTTGGGTCTGAAGAAATAAATTTATTTGTACGACAACAGACCTGAAAATTGATAAAAATGTGCACTTTACACGTTTTATTGAACTAAAACGTTAATTAGTTAGTTGAAAGAACCAGACGTGCAAATATTTATACTGGTTGACAGGAGTGCCCATTCTCCCTATGGTCGATGGCGCAAAAACCTTCCCCTCTTACTCACTGCTGGGCGCTACGGTCCTACAAGGACCTGGGCCTCATGGACTCCAAGCCAGTCATTCCTGTCTCTCTCTCGCGTCCTCCATCTTCTTACTCCGATCAGCTTGAGGTCTTCTTCAACGTCATCCAACCATCGCATTCTTGGCCTTCATCTGTATCGCATCCCACGACTTTTTCCATACAGCAGGCGTTTTGGAATTCTATTTTCTGGCATCCTTTCCACGTGTCAGAGCCATCTCAGGCGGGCTTTTTCCACAAATGATTGTGGAATGATCACAAATAATGAGCCACGTGTCACTTTCTCTTATTGGCCCATTTATCCCCCGGAGTATTTTTCTTTCCCTGACGTTGAGCTTCCTATCACTTACACTGGTCAAAACCCATGATTCACTGCCATATGTAACTATAGATCTCAGTATAGTTTCATAAATCATGAGTTTTGCTTTTTGGGAAAAAGCTTTAAACTTTAGCGTTCTTTGTTATGGCGTAAAAGCACTTGTTACCTACAGCCAGCTTGCCATTCACTTTTTCTTTCATGCTGTTGTCATGTGTAATGGCTGCACCCAGGTACTTAAATGTGCTTGTACTTTTAAAACTGTGATAGCCAATCTTTTTCTTTTTTGTTTGTTCTTTTTTTTTTTTTTTTTTTGTTCTTTCCTACCTCGCCTTGTAGGCTATACGGGATTTTCCTGGGCTGGAGGGTGAGGACGGGGAATTTAAAATTCCCTCCGGCACCAGGATGCGAACTCATACTTTTTTAATCTTTTCAAATCTCTTATCCGGTTGCCAGGCAACTCGCGGTGCAGTGCACACTCTTTAGCCCATTCGGTCACCCCGCCCCCTGTGATCGCCAATCTGTAGACCATGGTATTCCAGTTGTTGGTGCCTGGAATTTTTTTAATATTTTGTTTCTCCTTCATTTGCATGAAGAATTAAACCTCTCCCTCCTCCCCCAAGATATTTTATTGCTCTTCTCTTCATAAAAACAGTGCAATAGAAGAAATTAAATAATCATAGCCCATATACTACTACACTTTCAGTGTTCTGTTCTTTGCTTTCCTCTTATCCTCTGGTTTGTAACTTTTCGTTCCGAAAATTCACAACTCTATCGAAATGTGCCCACTCAAAAGTCTAAAACTTCGTCAAAATGTGCCCTCCTCAAAAATATGGATGTCGCAACCTGCACCATTAAACTCTCTTATGGCCACCGCTGCTGGTCGAGAGAGAAATTGACCAAAACGTATTCTGGATCAAATGAAATATTGATAGTAATGGGAATCAAAATAAGCTTTATAAATATAATATAAGCTTTATTATATATTCTTAATAGAACATAAAGCCTTTCCATTGGAGGTGAGATTCTGGTATTAACAAAAAAATATTGGCGCAGATTGCGGAGAGGAGAGGGAGAAGGAGGCGGAAAAAATCAATTAAAAAAATTAAAAAATCCGACTAGTTGAAAATACAAGGGCCTAAAAGTAGATAAACAACTTTTTTTTTTGTAATTGTCGATTGGTGGTTGACTGTACTGAATATTTGAATTTATTTTTTGCCGACGTTTCAGCCCAGTCCTTCATCAGGACTAAGAAAAAAACAGATAATAATAGGCATGAGAAACTATTAACATTATAAAGAAAGTAATTGAAAAAAATAAATTACGTGACAAACATCGATGTTTTTTCGTAATAGCTCAGCATGACACCATATTTGCGGGCAAATGGCGTTAACTATATAAAAGAAAGATGGTCGAGATAAATTATCATGCAATAGCTTGCAGCTTATTATTTTTCTTCATTTTCACCAATTATACAGAGCAGCTGAGTGCCAAATCCACCGATCCCACTTAGGTTAGGAGTGCATCTTTATGGGGACCCATCACCTGTTTAAAGACCGGCATAAAAGGGAATATATATAAAACATACCTGAGCCATGATCTGGATCAATGGTACTGTTAGTACGTAGACAGTTTTCCCGCTCATATTAGGACCTGTGATGATCGCGAAGTTGCTGCTTCTTGAGGCATTCTGTAAATTTAAAACCTATTTTATAAATTATTTCTTTATTACCTTATTAAAAAATAGAAAAAAAATACATAACTACTATATATGGAAATGGCAATTCGCATCGTAAAGAAAACATTAGTTAAACATACTATATACAAAAAAAATAAACCTATATAAAAAACACTTCGAACTATGACAAGACACTCAAAACTATGCACACTGGCTAAACACAAATACTTACAGGAAAAAAAAAAAAAAGAATAAACAAAAAGCACACTACTTCTTCTTTAAAGCTAACTAAACCCTGTGCTAAAAAAAAAAAAATGAAAGAAAGCCGAATCCGACAGCAAAAGTTGTCTGAGCATGATGAACTCCCTCTCCCTTTACCCGAATGATGAACAATATACAAATAGTATTTACACTCAGACAATCACCACTATCAGACTCGGCCCTCCTCCCCCCCCCCTTTTTTCCAGAAACACCGACCCCACTTTAAATAAGAACCAATGCACTCTTTATCCTTTCCCCATTCCCCCTTCCAAACATCATTATATAAATCATTATGAATAATATGTGATTAAATCATAAAAGTTTAGCGGGTATCTGTTTTGGGGGCAGAGATTAGAATATGAGGGTTTTAAAGGTAGATGTGGATGGAAATTCTAGAAAATAAAAGAGCGAGAAATAAGGGAGTTTTGGAATGAGGCAGATCTGTGAGAAGGGATATAAAGGTCAGGAGGTCGAGATCTTGTGGATAGGATATGGATATTATATTTATTAGTTATTGAAAGTGAAACATTGTAAAATCTAATACGCATTTATCCCCATTCTCCTAATAATAGCTGCAAAAGACATGATTAACTTACGAAATTGTTGGGAATCGGCTTGGTTCGACACAGATGATCCAAGATTGGATGCCGCGCACCGACAAGACTGATCTGACTGCCGAAGACTGGCCTGATGTAGTCCGTAGTCGAGGACGCTTGCGCAAGGGAAGATAATAGGTCGAGTTCGGCCACTCGGTCGCAAAGCCTGTACAGGTAGCTCATGCCTCCCTTCAGGGACTCCACCAGGTCGTAGATTACCCTACAACAAAGGTAAATAACATTAACCTCATATCAGAAAGCAAGTTATCAATGAAATAATTTCAAGAAATGAGATAAAAAGTTGAAACACGCAAATTCAGTCAAGCTTCTGTCCAAACACCATGCAATGGATTCCTAATATGAAGTTATGATACAAAATTGTTTTGAATTCACAGTAAGTTATTTAAAATATAAATTTGTGAAAAAATTTGATTTGTTAATTGTTGGATGATGAATCTGTTACAAGGAGCGAGGTGACTCAGTGTGTAGAGCTCTGCGCTCCAAGCTCCAGGAATTGATCCTAGTATTGCTGTGACAGGCAAATATTCATTTTGTTACATCAGCTGAGGATCGACCCTAGGATCGGGAAATCCTTCTGGAGAATCTCATTTTAACATGCTTTTGACCGGTGATTACCGCCTCATCGGTCGTAAGCACGTTTGATAATGTCTAGTTCCCACTAGGGTGTCTAGTTCCCAAAATAAATCTCCTTGCACAATCCCTAACTAGCTCCATTCATCCCTAGAATCCTCCTCAAACGTTGAAGCGGCAGTGGCCCAGAGAGACCCTTTGTAGTATATATGTTGGTGTTCTAGCAATGGCCAGATTCTCCACTCAAGACATAAGTGTATGTGGCTAAAGCGCTCTCGCTCAATCTCCAATGTCTTTAACACCAATGACGCGGTTGAGAAAGTAGAGCAGGGATCATTATTATTGCCCCTCTGACTGATTGTTGTATTTCTGAACAAATAAATAAACCATTATATCGACTGCCAAAAAAAGTAAAATAGCTGCATATTTTACCTAACTAAAAATTATAGTATAGATTACATAATGTCAACACGGCCATCATCACCTATGCTGATGACACTTGTATCCTATCCGTTAATAATGACCCTTTAATTGTATCTCAAACCCTCCAATCACATATCACAGACTTTGAAGAATGGTGTCATAACTGGAGAATAAAAATAAATTCCAATAAATCCCATCAAATAATCTTCACCCTTCGTCGTAAACCTACAACTTCTTGTCCTACAACATCCTTCAATGATATTCCACTTAATAGTGTTGAACAAATCCGCTACCTAGGACTCCACTTGGATAACAGTCTCACTTGGAATCCGCATACTAGACTGAAACTACAAGAAACTGCTCGACGTTTCTAGACAAACTCAACACTTACTAGACAAACGCTCTAAGCTTTCAATTAATTACAAAAGACTCATCTACTTAACCATAATAAGAGCTATATAGACATACTGAGTTAAGCTTTGGGGATATACCAAACCATCGAATTCTTATCGTATCTAATCCTTACAATCCAAAATCCTTCGTAAAATCTTTAATGCTCCATATTTTGACGCAAATAAAACCATTCATAAAGACTTTAATGTTCCGTATGCCGCTGATTTAGCCCTAGCCCAGATACCTGTCCTTTAATGATAAACTCCAGTCCTATCCGAATCCACTTGTTTCCAGTCTTGCTTCTTCCTCGATTCATGATAATCCCCCTAGGCGTCTGAAAAGAAGATGGCCTCGTGATCTTCATTAAAATTAAATTCGGAGTGCTACCACTGGGCAGTATCTCTTCAAGTCTGTTCATTTCATTATTTCTAATGTGTGCATTTTTTCTAGTTGTATTGTTTATACTGTTGTAAATTTCATTAAACAAATAACAAAAAAAAAGAAGAAAAGATTACATAATATACTACTACAAAGATCTTTCACAAAAACATGGCTGTTGATACAGAATGCATTATTTTTAGATTTTAGGTTGATAACTTACACGTTTGTAATAAGTTGAATTTCTTCCATAGCTCTATTTATCCTCACGTTCAAATTAAACATCTCGTCGGTAAGCAAATGTACTGTCCTGTTTTTATGTTTCACCTAAAAGATCATAAATTATTAATTAGGTTTTCTCTAGATATGATATACTCTATATAATTACAACGCAGTCCGCATACGAGTCGTTCTAGAATCTTCTTGGATATGGCATTTCTTCGTTTGTTGATGTTGTGTAAACCATTCGTTAAGCGTAAGAAGGGTAGTTATTTCAAGCGTTTTTACCATCTTATAAACAGCCAAAATTTTAATTGGATCTTTGATTCCTGAAGATCAAACTTTTTTTTCCGTGTTGGGAAGCCTGCGAAGACTGATTAGTTTAAACCATATGGAGAAGTTTTAACATTCTTTGACAGGTCGGCTAAATGAAGACTTGCAAAGAAAAAGATTTTTCCTTTTCATATTCCTTTGCACATGTTTATCTTAATTTTAAGTTTTATCTCTTTAAGTTATCCATATTATTTTATTAATTTCCGCTGTTGGTAATTTCGGTGTTTGGTATAGATGTTATATATAATATATAAATCAAACATAAAAAATATAACTGATGAGTGTATTTTTACTAGTTGTATTGTTTATACAGTTGTAAATTCCATTAAATAAATAACAAAAATATTTTAAGCCACTATTTAGACATAATATCCAATATTAAAATTCAGAAATAACGATAGACAATATAATCACAACAAATAGCCATAATGAGGAATAAGTGGACAAGTACAAAGTGCGGTAATGGAACTGGGAATAGCCAGATGTTGGTTGGAGTAATAATGAAAAGAAAATGAATGTGTAACACCAAAAGGCATTATATTTAAATAGATATGACAATTGTGCTCTCGATCAATCTCCTCTGGCTTTAGTACCAGTGGCGCGGTTGGGAGAGTAGCGCAGGGTTCTCCTGGAGTTCCCTCGCCTTATTGTATATAAGTATGCATATTTTGTTTTTTGTTTTTTTGCTTAGTTTTAATTTTCTTATTTTTTAGGTTATTTTATTTTATTATCTATCTATACTTTTGATTATTATTTTGTTTCTATTTATTTTATTTTTTGTACATATAGTGTGAATGTCATCCTACCTCACTATAATTAATGTCCTAGAGAAAATTGTTATAATACTCAAAATAAAAAAAAAATAAAAAAGATATGACAATTATTGTATTTTTGACAACTTACAATAGATAGAGTAAATTAACAATGTAAAAATAGTTCATTTGAAATATGTATAATTCCAGTTAACATGTATAATAGTAAACAGGGATTCTCAGAGGATGGGAAAATTGTTCCGAAACTTCAGATGTAATAGATGTAATTAAAAAAGAATAAAGAAAAATGCAAGTATATCTGCTTTAGTCTTAAATAGAAGAGTTGAAATTTTCTTTGTTCGAACATTTCCCCATTTGACGTCACATTGGTGTTCCTTGATCTTGAAAACTTTGTGACATTTAGAAGTTCTATGCCCATGCCTGTGAAAATCCATCTTTCGCCATATTGTGAATTATTCACGTTTATCTTGAAGTAGAGGTGAATCCATGATCATAATTGTCAATAATCGATTAAGAACTCGACATTTTTAAAGCAATACACTGAAAGCTGGAGCAAACTAACACCAACTTGATTAAGCCTCTTTGTACCCTTAACAAAAGCCAACATCTATCATAGTATGAACGACTCGCATGCGCACTACCGTATTTATTAATAAATAAATAATTTTAAATCATTGATGTTATTAACTACCTCAGTAAATATGTCAGGAACATCATCTTTTTTGAAAACTACTTTTTTCGGTAGAAAGTAAGTGGCATGAAAGCCCAAATCAGGTGTTTGCGTCATCTTCAATGGCAGGCAATACTCTTCAGCTAATTCGGTCACCATTTCTAAAAATTATGTTAGTTAGTTTGTATAAAGTAAAAATAATCTACAAAGGACATGTTTGATCCTGACTTAAAACTTGCTCAATAAGTTCCGAATAGGTTGCCCTCGCCACATCCAGTAAGTCGTTAAAGCCTTCTTTAATAGCATAGCAGCGCTCTCTGGAAGATGATGCGTAACCTTTAACCACTCGAGCATCATCTCGAATCATCTTCTTGATGTGTTTTAACATCAGCTCGTAACTATCATCGTGCAGTTCCTGTAAAAAATGGAAACAATCAGTGGTGTACAATGGAGGGCTTCCAACAATTTTTTTTTTTTTAGCCGTGCATTATAAATATTGCTGTGCCCTATTGTGGAACAGCAATATTTTAATAAAAACAAAGAACATATCTACAGACCAGGTGTAATGTTATATATATCAGCGACTCCAGCATGATCCAAGGAATTAAATTCCTTTAGTAGACACAGATAGGATGGAAAGAGTCAAAAACATCACTATAAGGAAGAAATTGGAAGTGAATAAAAATGGTCTAGAGATAATGAAAGAATGGAGATTCAGATGGTATGGCCACATGAGACAAATGTTATGGTATACCAAAGATAAGTATTGATTAAGAGGCAGAGGGTAGAAGGAGATGCAGACCCCCAGATGGAATGAGATAGCGGCGGAGATTATGGCAGATAGGGGACTTTCAGAGAAGGCAGAGGGCAGAAGAAAAAGAAGAAGAGAGTTAAATAGAAGGATAGAGTGGTGGAGAGTATGGTTGATATGGGACTGCCGAAGGAGGAAAAAGGAGAGGGAAACCCCCCAGCTAGACGGAAGCATAGAGTAGTGGAGAGTATAGCAGTTAAGGTTCGTGATGACAGATTGTGTTGGAGCGTTGCCTGTTTTAGAATCTTTGAGTCTAGCGACGCCGGTTCGAATCCTGCCTGGGAGTGTTTTACTTTTATTTCGTGGCGGATCCACGAAATGAAATTCAACCCTCCCACTCTGGTTAGAATAGTGTCATTTGTACCTCTAGAGTAACCCCCCATCGTATGCCAGAAATGGTGAGCAGAGAGCTATCCAAAAAAAAAAACAGACCCAAGCTTTATATCGCCGCGGTGCATGCATCACTAAACAAGTTCTGGCCGGTAAACTTACCATCGCTTTAATACTTCTTCGTAATAAGAAGTCTATAGATTCCAAGAGTGATGGGGGCAATTCCGCCAATGACACCGTTTGCAGTGGATATATTAAAGAAGGGAAAACATATCCGTTGACAATATTGATTTTCTGTTCTGGCTTAAGAAGATTTGAACTTAATCATTTTTCCATATTTTTAGTTATTTTAGCCACAGAACGATCATCGAACTCTAGCTTCCTAGAGAACCGACAACCAAGGTACTTAATAGTGTTCCCTTCTTCTATGAGCTGATCACCTCTTTGGTATCTAACCAGAATTTTGATTTGACTAAGCTTACCTTTTCTAAAATGATTCCAGAACTGTTTTGGGGGTTAATGTATAGTTCCAGTTCATGAAGTATCCTCCCAATGTAAACTAATATAATAATTTATATTAATAATAATAAGTTTGTGCTTGACTTATTATAATAAACTTGACTAATGTGAAGCTTAATTTTCATATAGTATATTTTGTGAGTTTGATATACTAACATTTCTTATATCGATTATATGATCGTCATCAATGTCTTCCAAGACCTTTCTAAGATGAGAGATTCCCTCCAAACATCCTTTGAGCAAGAGGATGTAATTGGTCAAAGTATCAAAAGTGTTGGACTCGTTCCTGAAATTGGGAGTCTTCCTACAGAGCCATAAGATTCGTTCCACGCTGGAGAATTTCAATAAGCAAGTCTAAAAACAATAAGGTAACAATAATATATAAGTAAAGAAACATAAGTATTAAAAAAAATAATCAGATGCTTTAATAACAGAATGTTGAGAATACTAATCCATCATGAACTGACCTGGAGTGATCCCAAAGCCACCTGGTTATTAACGAGAGCACTTACAGAACCCAGCCTTTTCTCCAGCTGTTCCAGAGAACTGGACGGCTGCATGAGATTAGATCTGAGTCTCCGCTTACCTCCGATTGTTTTGGTAAAGTTTATCACACCGAATAACGAATACTGCTCTGGAAACAAGACGGAGGCTGTTGATGACACCAGCTCCAATCTTCGGCAGGTTTCGAAATCTAAGACACAATTTTAAAAGTATCAGTAATTCGAATAAGTGTTTCATTAAAGAATAAATACTTACTAAATGTCTTTACAATAAACTATATTTCTGAATTTATGTTTTTCCAGTCCTCTTATTCCTGTCGAACAAATCCGATACTTAGGACTCCACCTTGACAAACGACTCACTTGGAACCCCCATACCAGACTGAAACGACTAGAAAGTATCTGTGTGCTTCGAAACCTGTTTACTCACTACGACCAACTTACGTCTAGCTTGTAAAGTCCGTTCTCTTTACAAATTTCTCTTATGAAAAACAAAACAAAAAAAAACAAGAACTTTTCATTATAAATTCTTCTGGTCACGTTAACATCATCCACTTCAGGGAAAGGATATCGATTATACTTTTTATAATTTGTAATCACTCAAGGTTTAGAAAGCTTTCAATATTGCCGTAGTAAGGGAGTGGGATAGCTCAGTGAGTAAGCTACTGTGCTCCTATATTCCCGGCCACGGTATCCTATTTATTATGTTATGTCATGCGTGGTCAGGAAAACCTCCTGGGGGCGCAACCATTCTCTTAAAGCGGAGACTCAATAACTAGAATTAAATTCAAACAAGAAGAGGAAGATCTACTCTAATTATTTACCAAGGCGTCCTCTGTTGCGGTCTTTACTGGTGAATAAATAAAAATAACTTGAAGAATTTGAACGAATAATTTATTTATTATTTGTAAGTAAATCCCATCAAATCACCATCGTAAACCTATGTCATCTTGTCCTACAGTATCCTTTAATAATACCCCACTTATCCCTGTTGAACAAATTCGATACCTTGGACTCCATTAAGACAAACGTCTAACTTGGAATCCTCATACCAGACTGAAACGACATAAAACAGCTCGACGTTTCCGACTACTCCAACACTTACTAGACAAACGCTCTAAGCTCACAATCAATTACAAACGACTCATATATATGACAATAATAAGACCTATTTGGACTTACGGAATTGAGCTTTGGGGCTCCACTAAGCCATCGAATTCCTCTCGTATCCAATCCTTACAATCCAAAATCCTTCGTAAAATCCTCAACGCTCCTTACTTTGTCACAAATAAGATCATCCATAAAGGCCTTAATGTTCCATATGTTTCCGATTTGGCCCAATCCAGATACCTATCCTTCCATAATAAACTTCATAACCATCCCAACCCTCTCGTTTCTAACCTTGCTTCCTATTCAATTCCTGATAACCCTCCGAGGCAAATGAAAAGAAGATGGCCCCTTGATCGCCTAATATAGACATATTATTAGAGTGCTACCAATGGGTAGTTTCTCAACATGTATTTTATGACATTATATCCATGTGAGAATTTACTAGATATATTTTTTTTTATATAGTTGTAAATATCATATAAATAAAAAAATAATGATGTATTTGTGTTTTTTACTCAATAAATATATTTAAAACTCATCTTGTATGTTTCTCAAAGAGAAATTTGTTGTTATTTTTGATCAATAAATTGATTTAATGAAATGGATCTCAAAGATCCGTAGCAACTTCCACGTTCTAAGGATCGCGAACTTTAACGCGCGCGAGTGTTAAGGATAATATAGATGGGCATTACTGTATCATAGGATCTCAGTAGAAAGTGGAAAATCATTAATTTTTGGTAATGCTGGCTTTTTCCTTAATTATCAAATAAAATTATGTACATAAATATGTTAATTTATCAAGTTAGATTTTAAGCTGTATTGTTCTTCTTCCAGTATTTATTTTAGATGTAGGTATGATTCCTTCTGAATGAATACATATACTTTACCCAGAGCGACCGCACCTTCAGCACTCTCGAAACTGACCCGAAGTGTTTTTGGCGAAAAGAGTACGTTATGTTTCACTTCGATGTACCTCAAGAGGGCTTCTGCAGCAGCAAGAGCATAGTACCTGAAGAAGAAATATATTACCCACTTATGTTCTCTTTTTATATATAATATTTGTTAGATAAAGTTATATCTCAATAAAATATGTGTAGGTGTTGGGAGGAGACTTACTTCTTGCAAACAATAACTTCGAGAGAAGAGTCATCTGGAAGCATGAGTTGCCTAATACTCTCGAGGCCGTTCTTGGCTGAGAACTGGACTCTCTTAGCCGTGGTAACTCGTACTTCCGCGAATGTTTCGGTCACTTTCTTATACATTTCAGATGGATTGGCAGTTGAGAAAGTCTCAGGCATTAACAACTGCAACAAAAATTTCTTTTTCGTTTAAGAATATTGGAATGAAAAAAAAACATGAAAGCAGGAGTGTGTCTAGAAGGCAGTTTCATAGCGCAAATCAAAATTTTTGAGGGGAGTATATTTTGACAATGCTCAATTATTTTTTGAACGAAATGTTTTTAACATTTTCGACGAGATTATGAATATGTGGAGTAAAAAAAGGGGGGAAACATTGAACAGACCACAGCAAGTGTAATTCTATTAATCTAAGATTTTTTAAATTCTACTTTTGATAGCACTATTTTTAAGAAGAACACAGCAATAAAATATCATCAGAGTGATGTGGATAAAGTAATTCTTCTATTTTGCCGGAGACAAATGCGTGTGAGCCAAAATTCAACTCAATTCTATCCTATTTTTCGGTTTCCAGGTGTCTGGATTCCACTGGAAGATACTACGAAAAAATGTACCCTTCCTTTCAAACGAAAAAAGATGAAATATATGAGTTGGAGAATAGTGGACAGGAATCGAAGCCTATGATGCTGAATTCTACAAATTTGAAGGGAGTTAGTGTTTTTTGTTTTTCTAAAAATTAATTTATCATAA